TGGTGTCAATAAATAGTTCGAGAGGTAAACCGTTCCAGTCGCTAATAGTGCGAGGGAAAAAGCTAAACTTAAACATATTAGTACGCGCAAAAATGGGAGTTAGTGAAAACTGATGTCTGTGCCGCGTAGCTCTTGGCGCTAAAGGGGAAATATATTGCAATGGGTCTATGCGAGTCTGTCCTTGCTGAAGATGAAACAAGAATTTCAACCGCGCTAGTTTCCTTCTAGCCTGAAGAGTCTGTATTCCGTTAGCCTACATAAGTTGAGATGGTGAATCCAGCCTTCTATACTTTCCGTAAATAAACCGAACCGCTCGACGTTGCACCATCTCCAACTTCCGGATATTTTTCTGAGTGAATGGATCCCAAACGACATTTGCATACTCCAACTTGGATCGGACTAATGAATAATACGCATGTAGCTTAACCTGAATCGGAGCGTCATTCAACTTTCTTTTAATGAAACCCAACTTCCTGGATGCCGAGGTACAGATATGTTTTATATGAGGAGACCAAGAAAGTGTGTCCGATATAACTAAACCAAGATATTTACATTCTCGCTCCACAGTAACCGGGGTGTCCGCGATATTATAAATGTATTCAAAGGGTTGCTTGTTTTTTGTAATACGTAAAAGCGTTGATTTAGCAGAGTTAAGCTTCATTTTCCACGTATCGCACCATGATACAACGGAATGCAAACTATGATCTAGCAATTACTGATCCGAGCTCGAAGTTATTTCTTTAAAAATAATGCAATCGTCGGCAAAAAGACGTATATGGACACCTGCGTCAATGTTTGATACAATATCATTTATGTACACCAAGAACAAAAGAGGACCTAAAACGCTCCCTTGGGGGACCCTTGACGTTACAGGCAGAACTGGAGAGATGCAACCTCCGACGGAAACAGACTGTGTGCGATGTGACAAGTATGCAGCAATCCAATTAACAAAACCATGTGGAAGACCAAGCTGTTCAAGTTTAAAAAGCAGTTGTTCATGAGGCACCTTATCGAAAGCTTTGCTGAAGTCCAGGAAAAGCACATCAATTTGACCTCCCCTATCGAGGATTTGAGCAAACTCATGGATGGTAGTGACGAGTTGGGTCGTAGTTGATAAGCCTTTGCGAAAGCCATGTTGAAATTCTGTTAGAAAATTACGACTGTCCAGCAGTTCATTGATTTGGCTGCAGATGATATGCTCTATTAATTTACACGAAGAAGAAGTCAAGGAAATTGGACGGTAGTTCTCAACTGCTAGGCGATCCTCTTTTTTGTGCACAGGTACCACTATGGCAGTGCGCCAATCATCTGGCAGCGAGCTGTTTGACTATGATGCACGAAAAATAATGAGAAGATAATGGGCGAGGGACTCGGCGTACCGTCGTAAAAACGTGTTTGGAATCTTATCGGGACCAGCACTTGTTTTCGTTTTCAGTGACAACAGCAAAGAAACTATGCCGTAATAAGTTATGAACTAAGAGTGATAGTTTGATGTGGTGGAAATCACATAATCATGGTTACGGATATCGGAGAAACCCGACTGAAAATACTCAATGAAATGGCACGCTATAACACCGGGATCAGTTGAGACACTGTCATTCACCGGCTCAACGGGCTTATTTTTTCAGTCAAGTAGCGCCAAAACTTTTGGGGGTCATGTTTAAGATAGTTTAGAAGCGTACCGGAGAAGCAGTTGTTTCTAGCCACTGAAATTAGGCTACGAAGATCGCTCTGCTGATTGGTGACATCACAGTTAACCGTCCTTGATTTCTTCGCTCGTTTTATCCTGCGTTTGAGATGTATCATTTTTCTGTTAATCCATGGATTATTACGATTATTACGCTTGTATTTTGTAGGTACCAATTTGTCAAGGCAGTATTCACATAAGTTCTTAAATTTTAGCCAAAGGGTATCAACATTTGTATCAGTGAAATTATCAAGATTTATGTCAAGATAATCGAGTATGCTAGTATCGTCAGCTCGCGAGTAGTCTTTGAAAGGTGAATACATAACCCTTTTTGTATTTTCCTTTTGAATTTTTTTAGAAAATATCCTACAGAAAAACGTCATTATCTTCTTGATTTTTTTTATAAAGAAGTCTACAAAAAATGTCTTATTTTTTTTCTTTTGAAAGTTTTTTTTGTTATCAAAACAAACTGCGTTTATAAAGGAATTCAGTAGGATCCCGGAAAGTCAGTAAGAAGTCTAAAAGAAATTAAAAAGAGTGTTAAGACCTATTTGTGTAAGGGTGAGTCTTAACCCGAAGAAGAAGAAGAAGAGGTTGTGCTATAAGGATGGCAAGGACGTGTTATGTTCTCAACTGTAATTCGGGGCACCGGAACTGTGCAGAGAGAGTGTCCCTGTTTAAAGCTCCATCGAATGACGCTCGCCTGGAGCAGTGGCGTCGTGCGATCCCGAGGGCCGTTCGCAAGTTACTACCTACTAATCATGTTTGTGCCAAGCATTTCCCGACGAACTGATATCGAGATGGTATCATGCGGCGTTCGGTGTGAGAGTTCTCCTCCATGCTGCAAAGAAGCCCGTGCTATCTGTAGAGGCTGTTCCGAGCATTTTCCCTGGCTGCCCAAAGTACCTCAAACGTCACAAAAAAAAAAAACAAAAAAAAACACAGAAATCCGTCTTGAAGGAGAGAACATGTTGAGACAATCGTAGGTAAACGACGTCCGCCGAAGACATCTGTCGCTGAAGCGCCCCTGCAGTCTGTCCAATCTCCGGAGCTCGCTATATCACCATCATCGGAAGAAGTGCACACAGAAACTGCAATGAAGCCGTCTAAAAGACGGCGTATTAATTCCTCCAACGTAGCACCGTCCGTGCCGCTCACGCAAGAGGGACAATGGCTGTCTGTTGCCGTGGAAGTTGGTAAGTGCTTTTCAGGAGAAACAGGCTCCCCTGGTGCAACTCATTCATGTGACACAAAGGTAATCTGTATGCTATAGCACCTAGCAAGAACCACGCTTAAATGTTAACTACATTTTCTGCCTTACTTCAGTGATTTCTGCTAACTGCTATGTTCGTTCATGTATATGCTGTAAATGTGCCTAATTCAATATCTCTATCCTAGCAGGAAACAGCTCATTTCTTGGGTATCAGACCTGCAACACTCAACTCTCACGACATGAACTTCATTCTGTTTTATTTTGAATGCTATTCATATTTGTCACCACTACTTTTAATTGAGCGGTATCTGGCTGTAGCAGATTGACTACTTATGGCGCAACTTAAGCAGTACTTCTCATATTCAAACACTTTTTGCCGCACTTTGCCGGAAAGATTGACTCGGATGAGTCAATCTTTCACCACCTTCGGGCACCTCTGTAGTAAAATCTAGTGGGATACGTTAAGAACCCGATTTATAAGGGCCGTTAAAAGTGGGATCCAAGCGTTCGTGTACACGCGGTATGTTAAAGAGGGAGAATGGGCTATGCGATTTAAAACGTTTTTGAAAATCTTACGTAATCATTTTTCTCAAAATCTTTTACCCGTGAGATTGTTTTATTTATTTAGGTATTGCTAGGTAGTTTAAGCGCTCCATCTGTGTCTTTCTTCATCCGGTCTCTCGTCCTTCACGCTATTTGAATTCTCAAGTATGTACCATCTCGCCCAATCTTCAACATTACAAAATATAATACTGCATCATTCACCACTAGAGCTCCCTTTATTCCTTGTTTCGTGAAATACAAAGGCTGTTCTTCTGAGTTAATTTTTTTGCTGAAAATTCAGAGTTTATCACAGTTTATGTTAGCTCAATTCCGAATTTTTCAAAATTCAAAATTTAATTTTGGTGCTTTCTCAATTTGTTAAGATATAAAATAAAAATAAACAAAATCTGAATTTGGCACTGTCGCCCATTGCCATTCACTTTCCCACGACAAAACTTACAAACATGTGTTGCTTCAATAAACGTAGGTACTTTAAAGTCCCTAAACAGCTGAACCTATACTTTGTTTCACCTTATGTTGTACCGCAGCGAAGGCTAGAAGCGCGAGCTCATAGCGTTGGCAGCTGCTCTTAGTCACGAGAGCTTGTGCCGCCGGGATGTGCCCCAGAGAAAGGAGCTCGCTCTTGTAGCCTTTCCTGCGGTACATCATAAGGTGAAACAGAGTATAGTACCTGGGACATTTGTTTTCTTTCCATAGCATTTCACCACTTCACCCCCGCAATGGTAAGCTTTTTTTTCTTTTCTTTTGTTCCCCTTTTATCCTCGTGCAAAGAAATAGTTGCGCGAAATTAAATTTAGTTAATTGTTCATGGCCGAATAATTTTCCCAGGTTTTGTATAGATAAGTGGGAATAATATTTTTTATTATCTGCACCACCTAAAAGCTCCTTCGTGAAAATGGTAAAAACAAACCGAAACCAAACGACAGATAGACAGGAACCGGAAGCAGTTATCACGAAGAGCCACGAAAGTAGCCGAAGCAATCAAGCCAACAAGATTGGCAATGGCGAAAAACGTCGCGATAGGAGAACCGGAGACGCGTTGCGCGAGATCAACTTGAAGAGAGGCGAAGACGCACCCGCCCCTTAAAACGTAATTATATTTTTGCTTCTTTTCATTTCAGAGGTCAGTTTTGTAGGACTATCAATAATTGAGAAAATCTAAGAACGCAGCGAAGGTCTTGCCGCGTTATAAACGAAGCACACCGCTTTGTCTCGCTCTGTGCCACCTTGTTTCATCAAATCAAAGAATATTAGGTTCAGCGATGCAGTTATAATCGACATAAATGTCCATCCGAGCAGTGGATCCCCTAGCGGTGCAACTTTCGCGCAGTACAAGGGAGGATTTCCCATGTAGGGACATTTCTTCCCCTTTGTCCAGGGAATTTAGGCCCAATGCTTCGATGCCGGACGCATGTCAGGGGAAAAAATGGGGGATCTTCGGGCAGGCTTTGCGGAGATCTCGTGCTGGTCGGGTAGCCAAGAGGGAAGAATGGGAAGAGCCACCTTCAGATCTCGTAAACATGATGCCCAGGTAAACGCGCCGACGCAGTGCCTAGTTTGAGTCGCGGTCTTGTGTGTTCGTGGCGTTCGGTGGTGTGTGACCGTGTGCCTCGGCCGTTTTGAAGTGCTTGTATACGAGGCTGTCACGTTTTGCGTCCGATTGATTGCGGTGGGCGGTTGCCAATCTCCCCCTGGGCAGTGATTCACATGACTTCGTCGACGAGTGATCGCCGATGCACGTTCAACAGACGGCATTTTGATTCGGAGGGCATATTGTTCACATGGCGGAGCCGAAGGCAGAAACTCCTTAGAAGACCGTCTCGGCGGATTTGTTGACGCGAAATTTCACGAAGAAGCAGGACTTGAACGCGCACATATCTTACTATTGAACTTGAATAGAAAGTAATGGGTTCGTTAGAACTGTCAGCTTTTTCGCTTGGTGAGCCAGGGTGCGTGAACGAAATGGTGAGCTTTCGACCATGGTTCTGTGCCCTGTTCTGGTCGCCGAACATAGACAACTAAGCGTTTTGTCGTGACCATTTCTCTTTCTATTCAAAAACATTCATGCCTAAATCGATTAACTTCACGAGGTTCCTTAACGGGGTTCTATGTTTGCCCTCAATGCAAAGAGGGAAGGAATCACAGTTTTGTCATTGCCTAAAATTGATGAAGTGTGAGCACAGTAGTAATGCTTTATGTTACACAAGCATTTCATAGGTTCTTAGTGTGCCTGCTTTCACTAAAACGTTTGCAAACTGCAAGGAATAAACACTGGGTGTTTTGTCAACCATGGAGTGATGGGAAGGGTAAACATCCAGCTTTTGTGGAATTGGATTTGTGTAATCTGGAAGTACCCAACAATTTCTGATTTCTCTCAACTAGCATTCATCCTGTTTCTGTTGGGGCAATGGGGACACGCTGTATTTCGAGTGACTCATGAAAGAGTGGAGTTCTGTCTAGATAACAAAATTTGGTGGCATCTTTGCAAAACAAGGGAAATCTAGTGTTGTCTCCTGTTTTACAAATACCATTTTGTCCCGAACATGAATGTGCAACATTAGAACCTAATAATGGCATTTTAAAACTGGAATCCTATGCTTGCACCGAGTTCATGGTAGAGTGGTGCCAATTGGCTCCATTTAGCTACAGGCTTTTGTACGTTGCAAGCGAGAATGATGATGTAGCTTTGCAAAAAGAAAGGAGACACAATTGAATGCATGCCTGCTGCTACAGACTTCTTCAAGCTAGGCAAATTATCTGTCTCCTCGAGGTTTTGGTCAGGGCAGGAGTCTGATAAAGCCTTTTGAAGGAAAAGCACTAAATCAAGGACGTGCGTTGAGCACTTTTCCTTTAAATACAGTTTACCAAGTGGTTCAGCTATAGTCACCGACTGAATAAAAATGACGACGAGGTCCATCAGATTTTTCCGCATCGAGCACGAGCTACATACCTTTGATGACGCTTCCACATCTCGTGAACCTCAGGAGCACATGAGCAGCCAAAGCGCCACAGAAGGCAACGAGCGCATGCTCAAGGCTGGGCATCCAAAAGAGATACCCTGCCATTCTCATCCAGTCAATTACTCTGACCATCTTATTGCTGTTCAAGCCATTAAAGGGGCCCTGCAATCCCAGTTAAGCGTCTATCTATTCTACGGTTTCCACGTCTCTTGTGGTTCAAGCAAGCCAGTGGGCACGGAGAGAGTAACTAAATATCAGAGCGTCATATTTTAACCGAATGACGCGGAAACCTCCTCCTCCTACGGGGGCACCCCGTGGTGTCGAACGCGCACAGCATGTGACGAGATTGTGACGTCGTTGGTCCTGATATCAGCTGAGGAGAGAGAGCTGTCCTGTTCCCAGGCAGCTATCTCTCCTCGGCCTCACCTTTTTTCCCAGTCTTCCCCTCCCTCCCTACATTCCTCAGTCACCACGGCAAGGGAATCCTCTGGTGTGCGAAGAAGGGGGACAGAGGACCAGGGACGTCATGAAAGAAGGAATTTCTTGCTTGTTTTCGTAATTTTATCATGCCTCTAACTTTAAAAAATAAAGCGAATTTCGAGAAAAGAAAAAGTTCACTAAGTTACTTTGCTCAGTGCGCTCAGGTCCGGTGCAAATTAAAGAACAGTAAAAAAGTTGTTGCAGGGCCCCTTCAACTGATAGTCTTGTTCAGCATCCTCATGCACACCGCCGCCGTCATATTTGTGGGCAGATTTCCGTCGAACGCTGGACAGTCGTCTTCGAAATGGAAATAATGGCCAACCTGGGCACTCTAGAACCATAATGCCCGAGTCCCACTGGAGCAACAGACGGAGACAAACGACAGCGACAAGCCTCAAACCCATGCAGCATGCTCACGCTGGTACCTTTGGCAAGCGTTTAGTCGTTCAGTGCTCGTGAAGTAAGCACGAGCGATTGCAAGCCTGCCAAAGATACCCTCGCTCGCGTGACGCTCGCGTTTGAGCATAGCCTCTTTTATTCCACAAACCCTGTTAAATTGACAAAGACTCTGGTTTAAGGCTTGTCGCTGACATTTGCTTCTGTTTGTCGCTCAAGTGTGACTCCGGCCTAAACATTTGTTCATTAAAAATAAATGTTCACACGCCTAGCTTGCCACCTGAGCTATGAAGGACAGAAAACTTCCAGCTGATCAAAAACAACAAAAAGAATCTTTTCTAAGTGTGCCACATTAAACCAGCACTCAGGAACAGTAGTAGAGGTCATTTGGAATGCAGATATATTTAAGGTATCCTTTAATTGGTAACTAGTCACAATGTCATAAAAGAACACTCTATCTCATAAGTGATGTACAGTGCTGTCACAGCAGTGCGGCACCCATGAAAATGTGTTTCTACAAGGACTCGCACTCGTGCCTGTGCCTATAATGCCGTTGCACTGAATTTTTGAGATGAAGCTAGTGGAGTATTGAGAGCAGCGGTAAATCAACCGAGACAGCGAATTTGTTTCTGAAGTTGCTCTCGTCATCTTAAAAACAGTATGGTGACAGTTACAGAAAACAGCAAATGCTGTTGTCAATGTGCACTGTACTGACAGACATGTCTTTCCATTCAATGTCACAATATCTATTCTCTTCAGAATCACTCTGAGGACAGGCATGCAAACTTCTGGCATTTTTGTTTTTCACTCGACAGCCGCTCGCAGAAGCCCCCCACCCCATGGAAGAGGCTGTGAGGTCGGTCCTGCCACACCACGGCAACATTGGCGCCACGCAAGACCGGATTCCGGCGAACGCCGAACTACAAGCGTTCGACGCTGCCATCACCAACCCACAGCCACCCAACACCGTGACCGCAAGTTCCATGGTTTCCGGCTCCACAACCGCCAACACAGCCGAAGGCAGCACCGCAGTTGCCGACATACCGGTGGCAACCACAGCTGCTGCCGGCCCCCTGGAGGCCAGCGGAGCGCACATCCACATACCGGAAACCAGGGCTGCAATCGTCAACGAACTACTGACGTCCACTGAACCGGTGACCACCGAACTCATCGTGAGAACGGTGAAGGCCAACGCCGAAAGCGTACAGTCCACGAAGTGGCGCAGGCAGAAGTTTTGTGACGCGTGGCTGCAAGACGGGCGGTTCAAGCAGTGGCTGGCAAAGGTGCCGACAACGCCATACCACGCGCGGTGCAAGGTGTGCGACGTGGTGCTGAAGACGGGCAAGAGCGAGCTTGAGAAGCACGCAAAGGCCAAGTACCACCTCAAGGCCATGAAGGCAATGGACGAGACCAGGACCGTCCTGGGAATCACCGCCGCCGCCGACGTTGAAATGTCTTTGGAGCGGTCCATGGACAAGTCCGTCGACAGCTCCTTCCAGGTAACCAACGTGCTCGAACGGCGGTTTCGGTTGGGTCAGGAGGGCCACGCTACGGTCGATCTGCCAAATGAGTTAGTCAAAACTGGCAAAATATTTTCGTTTGTACCTATATTTCTACTGTTTCAGGTGAAGGAGGGGTATGTGTCAACATTGGGCAAAGCAGCATAAACAAAGTGTGTGGTATCAACTGGTATTTCCAAGACATTGCTATACTCGGCGTCAACAATTTTGTGCTACGTTGTCAAGGCCATGTGGAGCGCAAGTTCGTCCGCTTCTTTTGCCGGGGTCGTGGTGACGTAAGAACGCCATGCTTTTATTGAAGGATAGTGGGTAGATTTCAGAGCAGCTTGCTCTGAGGTCTACCCACTATCCTTTAATCGGAGCCAATCGGAGCTCGGCGTTCTGACGTCATCACAACCCCTGCGAAAGCGGACGAACTTGCGCTCCGCATAGCGCAGTGCTGCAGCCCCACAGTGTTGGAGAGCCCATGGCTCCGTCTTGTGCCTCATCTGTGCATGCTCCTGTGCAAGGGAGACACCAAACGAAGCCATATGCACTTGTGCAAGAAGCTTTGACAGCGTTGGAGCACTGCAGAAGCTACGCTAGCTTCGACAATGCAGCATAAAATAGTTGATACTGAATGTAGGTGCGAGCCAAAGGCGTCGTGCTTGATCCAGCTCATACTATGGGCCATAGTTTTTTATCGTCTGTCACATTGCGACGTCAACGAGTTCCACAGTGCCACGTCGGCAAGCGCTTCGTAGGGGAAATTTTCTTCGTTTAACTCTGCGTTTATTTCGTACCAGCAATTTGGGTGTGTTATCAGAACCAATGAGGTAACTTTTGACCAAATCGCAGCCCACTTTGACGAGGAAGTGACGTTTCTGGTCGGGCGAAATCATGTCCAAATATGACCCTGTGCCAAAGAAATGAACCCAATGCCTTACCTCAACGAGCTCGTTTCATAGCCCCAAAACAAGGGTGCCTGGAACGTTTCTTCGACTGGTGCGCTTAGGGTCCCACACCGCCCGCACGTCGGAAGCGATCCGGAGGTGGCAACGAACGACGTCACAAAAGCCGGAGTGTCGTGCCGTCGCACGTCGCCGTCCCGGCGGTTGGTCGTAGAAGTTCCCGCAAAGAGCACGAACGAGCGTCGTTGTCGTTTCGACATTTCAACCCCTGGCCGTACCGAAGCTCTTGTGGACTGTCAAACTGTAGCACAAACTGCAGTAGAACAGACGTCTGCCACATCCATTACGGTTGCTGTGTTGGGATTGCAACGAGCAGCAGTGCAACGCCCGTCCGTCCCATTTAGTGCGACGCTTTTGCGACTGTGAGCAGGAATCGAGAGATTTCATTTGAGAGCCTGGTAAGCACGCCAGTCGGAGACTCGTTCCATAGTCTAAGAGAGAACAAGAACGGTGTGGCGTGCCTTTCGAGTGGCCGGCCTCCAGCGTGCTCTCCATGCCTTCCACTGTGCTTTGGCTGCGTGCATGCTCTCGAGGCTCATAAGACACTCAAGCGCTGCCGCGTCTGAAGCGGGGCGACCGAAGCTCCTCCCTGCCGTTCTCATCTTGTCGCCAACTGTAGAACCTTTAGAAACTCAGCACCATCTGGTGGCTCGAAAAGCAGTTGTATTTTCAACAAACTAATGGCGGTCATGACACTGTATGTTGTCGGACACCGTCGCTTTCGTGTTAATGACGGATGAAACTTGGTTCTTCGGTCGCCTCATAATTCTTTCTCGATTTATTTCAGTTTCAATGGTGCAAACATAAGGCCCGCTTCAGACAAGGCAACTTTTCCAGCAATTTCGGGGTTGCTGGCGTGTTGTTCCCTAACTTTCCTTAGATCGGGTCTGGTTCGAAACGGGACGAGCAACTCGGACAACTCTGAGACTTTTGAAGCGGCAGCAGCCAATCAGGGACGCAATATTTTCATGTGACACTGCTGTGGTGGTGATGATGACAGCTAAAGATTTGGTTCTGGTTTGAAATTGATTGTTTTTGGAAATAAACCGTTTCAGAAAGATGAGTTAGTATTCTTAACGCCATTCAAAGATATAAAAACATGTTTTTAGCGTGTAGTTGTGCATCTAAATAGTACAAAAAAAATCAGATGATGGCAAGTCATAGCGATTCAGCTGCCGCGTGTGGACGCAGCCGGCCCGTGTTGCTGGTGTTGCAATGTCAAGTTGCTGGGTGAAATTGCCCCATCTGAAGCGGGCCTAAGAACTGACCAGTACAAAGCGGTGACCCATAAGCCCCTCGATTACATCTTCGCCGTCAAGAGGCTTTAGAGCCAGACCTGTGCCAAGAGGTTGGTTGGACCAAACTCCGAAGCAGACGCTTATGCAGCCATTGCGTCTGTTTTGCGCGTCGTGTTACACCGACATCTCGAAGGTACGGGTGTCATATATCCTCTGTTTGCCAGTATCTTCAACTTCTCCCTACATCAGCCTCAAGAAGGCTGCCATTAATTTGGCACAGATGGCATACACTGAGATGATGATGGCGATTTCAAAAGGAGCCCGTAAACCAGGGCTGCCAACATTGAAAGTCAAAATTTCCCTAGCGGACACCTGAAATTTCCCTGATCCTGCCGAAATTTCCCTCATTTACCCAAATAATTATATAATACTAGATATTCATTGTTTTCTGCATCACTTCTGTTTTTACTATGAGAAATATATTATACGCGGAGTGCAAATTCGTCTGGTTCTTGCACAAGGGTTGCAATGATGTCAGAACGACGCCGAGCTCTGGTTGGCTTTGGCTGAAAGGAAAGTGGGTAAACCTCAAGGCATCTAGCATCTAGCACCCACTTTTAACCAAGGCCAACCAGAGCGTGGCGACGTTGTGACGTCGCCGCAACCCCTGCAAGAAGCAGACAACTTGCTCTACGCATAGCCTTTTTCTTGCATATGTTTCGTAATAAATTAGTTTATCGGGCCAAAATCGTGGCCAAAAGCAAATCTTGGCGAGGGGTTCAAACCAACGAATGAAACCTTATCTTCGCCTTAGATGTTGTGCATGTCAGCCAAACAAGATACTGCTTCAATAACTTCATTAGCGCTGTTTATAATAGTCAGTCCAAAACAATAGGTGTAACACAAGCGAGTTATCGAACTCAAACACACTGAACACAACGGCACTTCACGAAATAATATTAGTCATGGTAACTTAACATCTCCAGGCATCGCAGTATTTCTTTTTGTAGTCACGCTTTTTTTCTTTCGAGAAGGCACAGAGGCGCTCTCAGAATCTTCGATTTGGCTGGTGCCTTCCTCCATAGTTTTCAGGGGGCAATGAAAACTGATTTTGCATAAAAAAAGTTGGATGGATGGATGGGTGCTAATGTTTGTACCCTTTATAACGGGCGGTATCTTGGACCACATAGCATAGTGCTCTTCAGCGTTGCCAAATGGTTGCACCAGAAACTGCCATAAGGCTGGAGCCAAAGCCCATAAAATTCAATGTTATCTCGAAAAAGATCGTAATTAACCTATAAAATTCCAGATATACGGTTGTTTCGGGTCGGCAGCCCTGCCGTAGGCACCGTACCGAAACCATGCCATTCCTTTTTCCAGATAGACGAGGACGACTCTCCGCCACAACCCATCCGAACAAGCACGCCTGCGAGACAACCTCGCTGCACACCGCCCCCGGCGGCGTTTGCCACACCCAATGTCGCACCGCGGGTGCAAAGTTACGCCCCCGACTTCAATGGCATCGCCGTCTGGGGCGACCAGTTGCAGGAGACGCGGCTGAGCGACTACCACGGCAAGTTCCTCGTCCTGTTCTTCTACCCCCAGGACTTCGGCCTTGCGTGCTGCACCGAGCTGCTCGAACACAGCGACCGTGCGGCGGACTTGCGCAGCGCCAACGCGGAACTCCTTGCCGTCTCGCCGGACTCGTATTGCACCCACCTGGCGTGGACCAACACTCCGCGGAAGTGCGGCGGACTCGGGCGGATCAACTTCCCGCTGCTGTCGGACTTCAGCAAGAAGATCGCCAGGGACTACAACGTGCACCTCGAGGACACGGGTGTGGCCCTGCGGGCGTCGTTTATCATCGACCCGCGAAGCATGGTGCGGCACGTTTCGGTGAACGACCTGGGGTTGTACCGGTCGGCGGACGAGACGCTGAGGTTGCTGAAGGTCTTGGAGCACTTCGAGAGGCAGCCATTGGCCATCAGGGCTTCGTGGCAGCCGGAGTCGGCCAATGAGGCGGCAGCAGCGGCCGAGGAGCAGCAGGTGGCGGCAGCGGGACACATGACGCTTCGAAAACGTGCGTCGAAGTGAGCTTTCGGAATGCGGATCTGCAGCGAATTTTGGGACGGTTCTCGCGATGGAATCCTACAAATCTGTCCGTCTCGATGCCTCACGCTGTCGTTACTTGTCCGTGCCTGTAACTCTTGCGGCGTTGCACACAACTCTCAATGGGGAGTAAGGTTAAGAACAGCCGTGCCTCGAGAGTTTTGGAATGTTTACACAACTCGCAAGTTGGAGACAAAAGTGAACATTTCGGGTTGCCTTTTTGCCACTTCACGCTTATGTCGGATCATGGGCTACAATAGTTTGAAAGCCATGTCGCGAGCGATTAAAATCGGGCTTAAGGGACCGGCATTTACGGGATAATTGCACCTTTCATGTTTTTACTTCGGTAAGTTTAATGCTAAAGCATTCGAGACATACACTTGCCAGTTAATCAAACCCATAGAAAACTACAGCCTGTGGCGTCGGGAAGCTATCTGATCTGGAATAACGCCGAAGGCACCAGCGAGCTACTGTAGTTCAAAAGTCACAAAAACTCTAAAGCCGAAGGTTTTTTTTGTGCCAAGGCCGACAAAAACTTCTGCGTCCTACTGGCGTTGGATTTCGAAATGTTGAACGAAAGTGATCTAACCGATTGACCGCACACTAAAATGAATTTCCTCGTATTTTGCAAATTGTGTACGAAAGTCTGACCAGTTTGTGCAGCTTTCCCATTATGTGTGAATCATTAACTTTTGAGGCAGTGCTAAGTCGTTCATTGCTATTGCTCTACGACATTGTGGAGGCTCGTGATAACATGGCACCACTATAAACACCTTATTTTGTAATGCTCGTTTCGAGAAAACGTGGTAGTGGTGTCTTCTTGCCTCATGTCCACCTCATAAGCTTGTGACAAGATATTTTGTTATTGAAATAAATGCGACTAAAACACGTCACAAAAATGCCTGGACTGCATACAAACAAAAGTCGCCCCTTTGGTGTACTAGTGCGGCCAAGGCAGTGATAACTCGGAATGTGATGTTAGCGTGACGGTACAGATATGTGGAAACTGGATGGTGCAAATGCTAGCTGGGTGCCATCTTCTGTGGCGGCAATGTAAATGGGACTTTCTCGGAGCCTGTTGCAGCTTGAGTTGAGTAGATGGGGCGTGCAAAAAAACGGAACAATTGGAAGGCGGCAATGCGGGGAAGAGCCCCGATGCCAGCTTGTGGCAAAAGAGAACCAAACACTCGAACCATCTCGACCCGTTGTGGCAAAGTGATCGCGTCTAACGTAGCTTCTGCTTTTTTCTCCGATTTTCTAGAGCTCTCTTTCTCCAAGGAAGCCTGGGGAGCGCTCGTATCACAGAGCAGAGCGCGGCTGTATGTCTGAATGCGTGATGTGTTCCCCCCAATTTAGTGTTTTTCGATGATCCTGAGTAATTTTTTAATCGAAACCATGCCGTCAATATTTAAAAAATAATTAACAGCAAAAATAATTAACAACGATAATTAACCCAAATAGTTTTCCTAAATAGGTCCCTGGCCTCGGACCAAAACGACACAAGCCTTTTTTTGGTGCGACGCTTAGTTTTTGCAATATCGAATTTGTCCACCTTTCGTGAAACACCCTGTATAAAAATCCTTTCTGCACATCATGCAGGATGTTTACTCTAGAACTGAAAATAATTACCTAAAAAGGGCATTGAAGACAAATGATTCTTTTGGTATAATAGTCGATGTGACAGACATTCTGGCACGAGTGGTTCGACAGTTGGCAAACTGATTACCACAAATTCACTAGTTCACTTTATTGATAGGCCATAGCAACAGATTTTATGGAAGAAAATTCAGTGGGCCCTACTTTCAATCTTTTCACACCTTGGATTTGTCACTGAATATCACGAAGCATAAAGCTTATTGAAATCTGAAAATTGACACTATGGCCTTTTTAATGACGGCCTACAAATCCCCTCCAGGAGCATGTCATCCGAGACAAACATTTAGGAATGTAACTAGTGGACTTTAAGTAATTAATTCTCCAGTGATCACTTTACACTTGTGCTCTGACATCTGCTGCGATCAACATTATCCTAGCGAAATAATTTTATTTTCAAGTGCCTTTTTTATTTCTTAAATTATTTTCAGTTTAGAACAAACATGCTGTACATGTGCGTAGGTATTCATTTTCAAGTCAATGACTACAACTTTGCGTGCTTTGTGTACAACAGGTTTATTGTTTCGAGACTGCATAAATTACTAGGTGAGACGACACAGGGTTCCGACGAGTGGGCGAACGTGCGCCCGGCAATTAATTTATGGTTTCGGTTCTTGTTACGAGCTCTTTGTAATCGCGGACAGGCTTGGCGGCTCTGAAAAGAAAAAAATTACAGGATGACGGCTGAGCGAAAACTTGCAAGAAACTTGTGCCCTTCAGAAGGAAAGCAGACGAAAGCAACACTGCATTTAAATTAAAGAAGGAAAATTATGCAGGCGAGCTGGTTACGAAACAACAATCTAAACTGGGAATTCCCAAACTTTTCGATATCGAGAAGCCCCTTCCAATCACGGCATTAATGCAGTAAACCTGCGCAGGAGTCTACAAGCCTTGTACGCAATAATGCAGATGCTAGGGAGTGATTGCTTCCTAGTCACGCAGCAGTGGGTGGCTCAGACCTGTTATTACGGTGCTTAACCTGGAAATGCAATGTATTTAGGAGTGGGTATGAAGACGTTTAAAGCTCGTTCTCCCCACAAATGGAGCACTGGCAGTCCGAACTGGATGCCCAAGTGACGGAACTAACCGTTATCTCAATTAAGAGTTAGAAGTGATCTTTTGAAAACTTCAAAAGAGAAAATGGGTCCTGTTCCTGCCCATTTTCAGTAACTGGCGCCATTTGGCATTCGTCAACCGGCATTTTCCCATTGAAAATTTCACAAAATCCCTTATAACTCTTGAATAAGGTAATGGTTAGTTCTGAAACATTGGCATCTAGTTTGGACTGCTGACGCCACATTTGGGCGGAAAATGCAAGTTCGGCGCTGCATAGTTAATTTTTGCGGTGAAAAAAATTCCGCATTTTTTGGGGGGGGGGGGGGGGGAGGGGGGGCACCTTGAGCTATACCTATCCTCCTAAGACGTGGCCAGGCATATTGAAGCCTGTTGGTTGCGTGCCATTTGTCATAAAGACATTTGAAAAGGACCTTCACTTCCTTGAACCTCAATTACCTGAAGTGTCTGACATGTTTGCCCCAACCAGAAAAGAAAAAAAAAGTTATGAAGTTTTTGCAGTTTTTCGAGACCCGCAAGGACTCGAGCCGCATTCTTCCGTCCTGAAACCTTGCCCACAAGATTGCTCCGTGTAAAATTTGATTCCTATTACGATCCAAATCATTCAAAGAAACTTTTTTTTCAACACAAAAAGTGTTTTATCAGCAAAACTCTGTGAAAAAGTTGTCATGAAAGACCGTCACAAAGAAAGAACCGTCGCGGCGCCAGATGGCCGAGCTCAATGACATCATGGCGTCGCACGACATGATGACGTTGTGTTACGTCAATCTTGGGAGCTCATGTGACATCACGCACACAAGAAATCTGCCTAGCTCATTTACGACACATTCCATGCTCCCGGTCTTTGACGGTATGATCAAACTGGCATATCGTCCTTTCAAGTCTTTGGAACTAAAAGCCCGAGTTCTAGCGATCTCTTACGACGAGAGAACAGACTGGGATGCTGGCGCCATCTAGGAGGTCACTCTGGAAACGCATTTTATACTAGAGCAAAGGTTTTGCAGTACTATTTGCAAGATAATGGTATGTACCACTTATGAGAACTGGTTGTTTATAACATTGTCAAAGGCTTTTCGAGCCAAGAAAGAATAATGGGCGAAGAAATAGGAAATACACGGAAACTGCAAGCGTTCTACGGCCAGACGGCGCCAGTGAGTTGTCTCATTTCGAGAGATTTTAGAAGGTCTCAAGGCACATGGTCACGAGCGGCCGCGAGTCCGTGAACCAGCCTTTACGGCGTGAAGTCGCCATTCTTCCCTGAATAAATATGAATTGCGGGCGAACGAAAAGTGGGTGGCGAAGGCCCACAAAAGGGGACTCACGGATCCGTCACAGCCCCGAGGTACGTCGACGTCGTCCGGGGTGCCCGAAAGCGAGGGCGAGGAGGGCACATCAAACAAAGTAGGCTGCCAGCTGTGCCATCTTGTCCTTGGGTTTCCCCCTGCGCCGTCCCCGGCCCCTCCCCCTGGCACCACCAGGACCCCCCGCACCGCCCGTCCGCCGGTAGTTGTTCCTCGGCCGCAGGGCCTGGTGGCGCTCGACCAGGCACGACAGCGTGACGTCGCAGAAGATGCAGCCCGCCGCCTCTGTCTGCGCCCCCGGCAGCTTGGTCTTCTCCTGTCGGAGCCATTGAGGGAATTGGTATGGCGAGCGGGGAAGGAGGCACGAAAGAAGCGAGGGTAGGGTTAGGGCAACGCCAATCGGGGTCACTGAAGAGGTAAGGAGAGCGGGGAAGAGTTTCGGTTGTCCCGCCTTTGGCGCGAGCTCCCCGCCTTTGGTGACGCGCCTTTGGTGACGCGCCTTTGGTGACGCGCCTTTGGTGACGCGCCTTTGGTGACGCGCCTTCGGTCATGCGTGCAAGCCTCCAGCTTGCACGCATGACCGAAGCACCGCAGAAGGCAACGGGCGTGCGCCGGAGACTGGGCGTTCGAAAGGGATGTCCTGCCGTTTTCACTGTGTCAATGACTGTACAAGATAAATTGTGTACCCTTTTCTCGAAACGTCGTCACTAGCGGAACTACGCAGCGCCGTCAGCATGTCTCGCGCCTAGAGCAATGCCAGCACGCGGCAATGCCGAGGCAGACGCGTCTGTCGTTGTGCGGCAACTCTCGTAGAGCTTTTCCATGCTTGCTGCCAAAGGCGGGTGGAAAATCCGTTTATGCCGGCGTTGCGCGCGGCCCTCATCTTCTCGGCGGCACGGTTAGGGTGGCGGTTTCCACCGCAGATGTTTGGGGGACCCCTTCTGGATCGGGCGAAGTGACGGGGGAGCCAGTCTGCTAAGGGGGGGAGGGGGTAGGGGGCGGTATTGAACGATCACAGTGACAAAGGAGTAAATGAAGGAAACTAAATGCGTGCTAACCAACTTTGTAGCCCTGGAACAGAGAGTGACCGACCCTACTCACTTGGTGCGCACGGCTTAGTTTATTTAACTTTGTGGGGCATTCAGCTTAAAAAAAAATAGTTTTATAGTGCCTGGCTCACTCGATGGTCTAAAGTAGGAAACACATGAGCAACAAAAACGGCCACTGCTCAGCAGTTTCCATGGCAACATGCACGCACGCTGTGACATGACGGCTGGGCATAGGTCCACGTCACAGCGTCCTAGGCTGTTGCCATGGGGATCGGTGCGCGGCGCCCATTTCTGCCGCTCATGTGTTCCCTGCTTAAGACTTCGGGGACCCCGAGAAGGCCATCGGAGACCCCAAAAGGTCTCCAGACCCCCATTTGAGAACCGCTGGGTTACAGTATCCGAATACCTTACTAAGAAATGCATCCTACTCCACGAAAATCCAATGGCCTCAGAGCCAATGGCTTCCGCGTAGTGGGATTGGCTGGGTGCACGCAGCCTCGGAGTTTTCCCCTAGGAATTGGAAGGGATGGCTGCTGCCATCTGTCGTCGTGGGTGGCCTTCAAAACCATGAAGACAGCCGTCTCTGTCGACTCTGGAAATCCGGCATCTCGGTGCGTCGGCGGTAGCCTCCTCAGCACAGCACAAAAGCGCGACGGCGGTAACGGGGCAACATGCGTGCGTTCTCTCCGACGTGGACCGTCCACACCACTAGGGTGGGCTTTGGCATTCTGGGCACGCTGTCTAATGCGAACGAGCGGAGCAGAACATATTACCCTCGTATAGAGTATGGTATAGACCACTTACAATGTAACCGCTTATAGTGCAGGACCGGGTATAACGCGGCTTTTTTCAACCACCAGTTCGTCTCCCATACAACTCCATGTAATTACATACTGCTTAAAATGCAGGCATGCGAAGGGAAATACCAGTTATAGTGCGGTTTCTGGAACAGCCCGCCGACCGGTTGGCGCAGCGAGCATGCTTCCCTGTGCGACACTAGATAACGGCGCTAGCCGCAAGCGGCGCTGGGGGGGGGGGGGCGGCAAGGATGGCAAGGAGGTTGCTCGAAGAAGCGAGGAGAAGCAAAGAGAGGCTTCAGTTGCCATAGCGACGGAGGGGCGCACGCACATGTCATTCACATCGCAAGGAGTTGGAGCGCGCCCAACTTTCCCCCGCTGCGTTGGAAACAACCGCAACGACAGACCAATCACAAGTCAAGGAGAACTGGTTGCGCGCGTTGCACGCCGGTCGCGGGCCGGCTTCTTCTATCTGCCAACATGGCGTCGGTGGTGATTGTCGACGTAGACGGCGTGGTGGAAGCTCATCGTTCCGCATAAAAGCGCTATCCTTGACTGAATTTTCGTTGTGTGTTGCTATGATAACCCAGCACGTACTAGAAGGGAAGATCCACCTACTCGTGCGGCGCTCTCGTGGCGGCACTCTCAAGACAGCGGAAATGCCTGTGTCGTTGTGTTTGTTTACTTCGACTATAGTGGTGCTTTCTAAGCATTTGTGTTTTCGAACATTGCCCAGATTTCTTAATTGGAGCATTTCATGCATGTGCCCAAGTTCAAGGTATTAGTGGCACGTATTGTATAAAGGATGCGAATTTTCACGCGTTTTCATCACCGGAGAAATGTGGTTAGGGTTAGCAATCCTGAACGCTCGCAACGTCCGTCCGCAATGCCGTTAAAAGGCTGCGCCAGGCAAAAGTCACTCATTTCTTTCAAAATGTGTGACACACTTGAGAGAGAAGTGTACTAGTCTGGTGAAATAAGGACTTTCCTCATACTAAGCTTTATTTTTCATCTAACATAAAATAAATTGTTTTACAAAGGTGAGTTGTCTCATGGCATGTATTTTGGCTTGAAAAATTGAGGTTTTGGTTATAGCGCAGTACCGCTTATAGTGCAGATTTTCGCGACTCCCGTGACATACGTTATATGCGGTCTACACAGTATTTGGCGTGTCTGTCGGGACGACATTTCCGAATTCCCCGACTTTTCCAGGTTTTCCCAAACCACCGAAATTTCTTGACCGACTCCAAGAGGGCAAAACATGTCTAAGAAGCAGTTTTAAAGCGAGAGCTATAAATTGGAACCCTCCAGGGAGTTGGTTCGGTTGTGTTGGTTGCACCGTAGCAAGGCCACGGGGGACAGTGTCAGCAATAGAACACAGTTGTTGGTTTGATATCGGTGCAAGTGATCAATGGTGTAGCCATGCGGAGTTTGGGGGGACCATCGGGGAGGGGGGAGTGCGCTAACACTGTAGGGAGCATCGGTCTGTACCACGGCACAATATACGAGGTGTCATCAAAAAGTTTCAGGACCGATTTTGCAGCATAAAAGGAGGGGGCAGTGCAGTGTTGCGAGCGCAGCAGTCTTGGGAAGGAACCTTCATGACTCGTTATACCAAACGGTGTCGCTTCGTGAATTGGAGTTGCACTACACAAGTTCGTTTGACCATGTGCACAAGCATAATGGCAATCTCTCCATAGACTGCCAACCAAGGTGAGAGCGATCATCAATTTTACGTCAAACTCGGCAAATCTAAAACAGAAACCTCTAAAATGATTTAGAAGGCTTATGTCAAATAGCAGTGAGGCGTGCAAGGTGTTTTGAGTGGCACTCGCTTTCAAGAACGGCAGAACGGCGCTGGAGTGAAGCAGAGGGCGGATGAGGTCGCCCTACCGCTCTTTGTCTTCCAGCAAAGTTCGACCGTTCCTGAAGTGCGAGTGCCACTTAAAACACTTCACGAAATTCACTGCTTTTGACACGAGTCTGCTGAATCATTTCAGAGGTTGCTGTTTTGTATTTTCCAAATTTAACGCAGAATTGATGTTCGCTCTGCCCCTGGTTTGCAGTTTATGGTGAAATCACCATTGTGTCCGTGCATGCAGTCGCAAAAACTCGTGAAGCACAGCTCCAAATGTTCACAGAGCGACCACCTTTGGTACACAAAGGTCCCTTCCTTCGACTGCTGCACGCACGTCACTGTGCTGCCCTTTCTTTTTACGCGACAAAATCAGCCCTGGAACTTTGTTATCACCTTGTAGCATGCAGTCAACAGCCATTGTGATATACTTACAAGCTTGTACTCAACGCTAATCACTTGGCTGCCACACTCTTCGCATTGTTCGTCTTCTACGCTGACCTTCCGTGCATCTTCGCAGAGCTGAACGATGACATCGCACCTAAAATGTTTGAGGCAAAGTCATGTTGGCTGTGAGTACACTGGAGATGGTGCAACAAGCATGTGAAGTCGGAGAGTGTTGAACAATTTATTTTTGAGCCACATATGTACTGCCAGCAATACATATACCTGCCTAGTAACTCAGTGAAACAATATTTTAGTAGTTATATCAGAGTATTTCAATAGATAGAACTGCAAACTAAAAGATAACGGCTAAAAAAAAAAAGGCATCTGCAGCTTACCAAATAGTTATAAAACTCTCGCAAAAATGTGGCGGCTAACTTTTAGGTTGGTGTTTTGCTTGTGCAAAATGTTGAAGAAAGACGAACACATTCCATACATTATTCAATCATTACACGTGCAATGCTGTTCTCCCGTTTTGTTCCACTAGACCGTCGTGTGTTTCAGAAATTATTTTTGGTATTTCTGACATTGAGGATAACTGATCTTGACTTCTGTACATTTGTTGCCTATAGCATCTGCCTATTCATTGGCAAAGAAATGGCATCTTGAAAACACCGTAAAGTCCCAAAAGGACACCACCCAAAACGAAGAGGTAAATTATGAAAAACATGGGGTGGGCTATTTTTGAGCATGTGACAGCAAAACTCGATAAAAAAAAAAGTGATAAAACACCGGGCGATCCGCTACAAACCACATGAAAGGGAACGGATAGCACCGATCGCGGACACGGCAAACTTGCGTTTCACGATGCAATACACAAGCGGGAATTCGCTGCAAACTCCTGTGTCACTGTAAAAGATACTGCGGATTGCGGACGCAGCAGGATCCGTAGTAACTCCTCGTGTAGACACCCTGCCCTTCGAGAGACGATGAAGCATGCCCGGACCGGCGTTGGATCGACGCACCTGTTGCAGCCGATCTTCCACTTGGGTGCAGAGGCGGGGTCGAGCACGAGCACACCCGAGGTGCACTCGGGGCAGACGGAGATTCCGTTGGCCATCATGGAGTGGGGGCAGGTGGGGTGGGTGCACGAGTTGCAGCCAATCTGGTGGCCCGTGTCCCTGAACGGCGGGTGGTTGTAGCAGTACGGGCAGAAGATGAAGCTCTGCATTCGGGCACACGGAACATGGCGCTAGGTTAGGGCACGGCAGGTTGCCGGTGCGCGCTCGAGCGGCCTTAGCCGACGGCGTCTCTGCCGTTCAGACGGCGCAAACAGGAAAAAAAAGAAAAAAAAGAGGGTTTTGTTCCCCTGGCAACCGAACGCGCGATTGTTTTCCTCGGGGCGTCTGCTCTGACCTTGATGGACACTGGCTCGAACACCGCGTCGAAGATCTCTCTGCCTCAGCATGCTAACAAAACTGTCCCTGCTGCCATTGAGGCACAAAACTAGGGTCGATGACAAAGTAGTACTATCTAAGCAATGTGCACAGCGCAACTGCTAAGTTCTACATAAAGTGGTGCACCCAGAAAATTACTTTAAAAACAAGCTGTCTCCCGTAGAAAAGCATGGGAAAATGGCCAGCGGCACGCTGCCATTAGTCGCACATCGAGGAGCCATCTGGTGGCATCGCTTGCAACCAGGGCGAGGAGATGAGTTTATCTAACGTCTGCGACAAGCACAGTGTCCCCACCTATATTATACCTTACACCGTGGGTTAGGGTGACCATAATCCTCATGTTCGAGACTAGGATATCTCAGTTGAAAGGGGGGCTAATAAGGAGGAAAATGTCTTACAAATGATCAACTATTGCTTTTATTTTAAATAGTAACGCAGTTAAATTAGCACCAAGGCACAAACAAATGCAGAGTTCTGCTTCCACAAGAACATAAAGTGTCCAGCTGCTGACAGCTCCTATGTCTAGGCACATTTTGCCAAAGAATGACGTTTTCCAAGTCCAGTTTTGTCCTGTAGGACTGTTGTGAGATGCAGGACACTTATATGAGAAGTTCTAACACACCAGCAGCGTGGATCACAAAGTGGAATGGTATTACAAAACTGTTTGATTAAATTGCATTCCTTTGTGACTAAATACCGATGTGTTTTCAACTGAGGTTTTACAGGTCTACCAAATGCAGATACCCCATCAGGACAAGTTACCCTAAGCTTAATGGCCCGTTCACACTCTTGCGACCGAGTACGACTGAGAGAGACGAGATCTCTTACAACTTCTTAAATGTTTCTAGAATGAGGGAACACACTGACATTGTGGCGCCATCTATGCGGTGACCCTAGAACTGCATTTCACAGAAGCGAAGGTTTTGCGGGATTTCCGAGGTCAAATGTGCGTAATACCCATAGAAAGGCTCGTTTATAACGTTGACAAAAGCTTTTCGAGCCAAAAAAAAAAGGATATTGCGTGAGAAATAAAAAAAAATATGCCGGACCGCCGAGTTTACACTGCTTCCCAATAAATGGCGCCAGTGTGTTCTCTGGTTTAAAGGGGCACTGACACATCAAAATCGTAATTTATTTTATTATCCGAAACGATTGAAAATGATGCCGGGAAATTACCCTCAAAATTCGAAACTTGGGAATTCAGTATTTGTGAATTAAAAAAACCATTTCCAAATGCCGAATTTGAAGTTCCCGCGCGATCCGCGCCAGCGCAGTGAGTCAAATTTTGCGGTCTCCTGCGACTCGACTTTCTTTCGGACCTCCGCACCACGCTGTGAAGCAAAGCGCCGCTGCTACCGCGACCCGAAGAGAGGAGGAGGTGAGCAGGCGGGATAGAAGGGAGCCGGTGCGGGGAAGAACCGGTCTTCCCCGACTCGGCGATAAGCGTCTGCACGAGCGCCGCCAAGGTTTCCGAGGGAGAACACAAATTCAGGAAGCGACATCACACCGAAATCTGATTTTTGGTATTTCAAAAAGAAAGGCCGTAGTGCGTTCGTCATTGCGTTAGAAAACATGTTTTACGATCGCCGTTATTAAATGTTATAGAAATGTCGCCTACAAAGCTTCTAAATTTCCTGATTTTTGACGTCACCGATCAAAAGAAGCAAGGAGGTGAGCGCGGGAAATATAAACGCCAAAAATAAAAAGGCGCGCGCGCGTGCGGGGAAATTTTTTTTTGCGATGCGATTTTTTTTGCGTGTCTATGACTACAACTTGCATCGTTTTAGACAATAAAAAAGAATACGACCTTTGGGGTGTCAGTGCCCCTTTAAGAAGTTTTAAGGAACCCAGGTTTAAGAGGTCGCAAGCAGTCGCAAGAGTGTGAACGGGCCTTAACTTTTACAAAAGTTAGTCTCTAAAGAGTAATTGTTAAATGCCGTTTTTTTCCACTCACTTCACACACATTTTGGAACTGAACACACTCCTGTAGAAACGGGATACAACACATAATTGAGACAAACTGACAAAATGGCAGGCATGAACCTTCAAAACAAAACGTCTGGACACCCCTACACAGCATCCTACTCTGCACCTGCTTCTTTACACCCCTGGTAAAAAGCAATACAAAAACAGTACACTACTTTGGTATCCTTAAGAAACAAAAAAAAAAGTACCCTTAAAGTTATATATTTTCAGCATACTTTTAACATACTTTCAATACATACTTTTAACAGACTTTAGGGTACTTTACCATTCAGTAGTGCAGTCTGTGCGTCGACCCAACCGCACAACTAAAGTGTGCATACTAAAATGTACGTTAATTTACCATTTGCAAGCTAAAACTACACTCTGAGTATGCTCTGTGAAGTGTTCTGGGAAAGTTCAAAATCAGCATGCTTTTAGTGCATTGCTCTTTTCCATAGGCTGCATTTGAGGAACGGGCACGTTCGCTTCAACGCTGGATGCCTGGCTCACCTTTCCCTTGGTGCCGCCGTACCACTGGAGCAGCTCAAAGTCGTCCAGGGGGCACTTGAGCTCGCGGAAGGTGCGGACGCTGCCATTCTGCGGGATGCTGTGGGTGTCGTTGCACTGGACGCAGTGCAGTCGGCTCGGCTTGCTTGCCACCAGCTTGAGGTAGCGGCGGCACTTGCCACACCTGCGGCCGGCCAAAAATCCGCCACAAGGGGACCACTCGTCACGTTTCCCCACCGGCACGACACGACGTCAAGACTGGCCAAACTCAAAGTCGGAAACGTAAGCCTCTCACCCCGTCGCTAGCGAGCGGAGCCGCGCTGGGGGCCTTTGACGAGAAATCTATGCACGGCTCAATTCTTAGAGGGGCACTCAGCTTCCAAAAAGTGCAAAACTGCCGGCCGACTGTTTGCACCATGTTCTAGCATTTTGTGCGCAAACCATGATGTTATCAGGGTGTTAGAGGCATTCATTGTACCCAGTAACTCAGTGTTGGGTAAAGCACATCTAAAAGAGTACTTGGAGTAGAGTACAAAGTAAATGAGAGGTTATGTACTTCAAGTAGTTTGTACACTGGGTGCAATGCACTTGAAGCAAAGTACTATAGAGACAATGTACTTTTCAAGGAAAGTACAAGGACTTTATGACAAACTTTTATGATGCCCTTTAATTCATCCCCCTACACAGGGGTTTTCTTGAACTGATATGCATTGCCCAAGGGGTAATCGGGGGTGCATCGGTTATTTTCGGAAATGACTGCAAATATTGAATAAAGTCAAGCAGCCACAGAGTAGTTGTTCTACTTTCGCTAACAAACCCTTCAACACAATCAACATGTAAGGCACTTATATGTTGACGAAGCATCAGTTTGTGATACAAATTTAGCAAGAACAAGTTTGGGGAACGTACTTTGAAGTCGGGAGTTGCGCTTTCCTCAAAAAGTACCGGAGAAAATACTTTAAATGGCAACTCTGGTCAATAGTTTAGAATTCGTGACTACGACTGTTTTCAGCCGAGTCAAAATCCCTAAATTACAAGATAAAATTTTTTCTTTTCTTTCAAAATTGTGCTTAGTTTATAAATATAATAGCTGAAAGTTTGGTTTTGGGCATCTACGACAAAACCGAAACTACCAGTTGGATAAGGATGGCAACAGTGATGCCAGCTGTATGGTCGTGACGCGACGTCACGGTGGTGCTGCGGTATGCGTTGTCCAGTTTTGCTCGAGTAAAGGCTGACCTGTTTGCCAAATGCTAAAGAGCAGCCGTGGTCGCACCTTTAAGACTGGGTTTAGTAGAGTATGCGGCTTCATTTTGACGTAATATTTCGACTGTGATAGTATTTTGTGCCACTTAAGCGACACCAACCATTTATTTTGCTTTTGTTTTCGACTGGAGCTGCCCCTTAAGTAAAGCAGAACTACACACTCCAAGAATGTACTACAAGCGAAGTACAAGTTTTCTAAACCTACTTGAAGCAGTGCGCACTTAAAGTACCTCCCAACACTGCAATAGCTATAGTCACCGACAGCGTAAGGAACACAGGGTATGGCGAGTCCCTAGAATCTCATTATCGCTCAACAGCTAATGAGATTGCAGGATTAGTCGACAAGAACGCCAAAGAACCAATCACAAAGCAGGAAGCGTGAACACAAGCAGCCACGTCCTATATTTCTTTAGCTCTCCGTGACCACAGACAGACACGAGAGAGTGCGTGCGAAGCTCCCACCTGGACAGAGGTCTGCCGCTCTCGGAGAGCGGGGTGAAGGTGACCTCAAAGAGTTCGTCCATCTGCAGGATGCTGGTGACAAAGTAGCAGAACTTGAGCTGGAACACGGTCAGCGTATGGCTGAGCACGGCATCATAGTCTGCCTTGCCCACGGCAATCAGGTTCAGCTGCTGTTCCACGGCCGCCCTCATCGTCGGCAGGATCAGGTCCGTGTCAATCTTCCAGGGGGGAAGAGCCGAGGCAAACGTTTTGGCTGGGCAAATTTACGGGTGCATCGAAAGACAACAAAAAGAGAGAAACAAAGGATTTCGACGCTTGGTGCGAGTTTAGGGACCCTTGGGAAGTGGAGAACTTCTGGGAAAGTGTGTGGCCAATTAAAATAGAAGGTTGACACATGTTTTTGAGCAAGACCTCAAAAGCTGCTCCAAACCTCCATAGTTCCTTTTGTTTTCCTACAGTGGTCACAGCAATGGATGAGAAGAAAACAAGGTACATTCAGCCAAATTCTCCAAAGACATTACCAGTGGAAGTAGGAAAGAGCACCTATTTAGTCAAGGTGCTTGTCTATACTTTTTTAGCATGCTTCTGGCTAGTTGGCTTCCCCAAAATTCTCCAGCTTCCTTCTTTACCCCACTGCAACCTTTCTAGTAAGCAGTGATGAACGCAAGCTGGTTTATAAATTCACTGGATGCCATTTTCACCTACTGCAAGTAGTCACACTACTCGAGCTGAATAATTTTCCCTATGGCACCCTAGAAATGTGGGAATCTAAAACATCATCACACGCAGTGCATCTTAACAAACTTTCTCAACTGCCATAGCTGCATATGGTTCTGCACCTCCCCAGGCTGCCATAAAATTCCCAACCTCCCCATCTTCTCTACGGGCACCTCCCTAGCAAGTAGAGATCATCAACACCTTAAACATATGTAGTGCACTGTAAACGCCCTCCCCCCCAGCTACTATCATCCACATCTGCATTTTCTACCAGTTCTCAGGCTGCTGATGTTAAAGGAAATTCCCCAGTTTCCCTATTTCTCCCTAGGTAGTGAAGCTCATAAACAATTTAACGTATGACAAACCTCCACAGCTATCATAATTCATGCTGCATGTTCTGCCGGTTCTCGGACTCCTCAATTCACGCTAATTCCCCAGCTTCCCTATTTTCTCTGCTAGCAACTCCCTAGCAAGAAGAAAACATCAACATCTCAAACATATGTAATGCACTGTGAAATCCTTTCAAACTACCATCATCCATATCTGCATTTCCTGCCAATTCTTAGACTGTAAAGGTTCCAGAAAATTCCAAGCTTCCGTATTTTTTCCTATACGTAGTACGCACCTCCAATAGCTAGTGGAACTCATAAACATTTGAACATATGCAGTGCATTATGACAAACCTCCCCAACTACCATCACTCATTCTGCATGTTCTGCCAGCCCTCCAACTCAATTTATAGAAAATTCCCCAGATTCCCTATTTTCCCTAGAGGTGTCACAAGACTAACTTTTACAGGGAGTCCATACACGTTTGCAAGTACAACCTCTGGGTGCTGCCATCCTGCAGCTGGCATACGCAGCTTCTCCGATAGTCAAGCCTCGTGAAAGGTGTGTGCATCACTGTTGCCAGACTGGTGCTCTAACAAAGCATTTTTCACCCACGGTGGACAGACCATTTTTTTGAAGCATGGCCGATTGCAAAGAAATACAAAAACATGTGAAAAAAAAAAGTCTCAACAGCAGATACCTTCTGGTACCCGTGAACGAGAACAATTCCGAGGTTGGTCGGGATGAGTCTGCGGCCGGAATCAACCGTGACGTAGTTCCGCTGGCACACGTTGTTGATGTGCACGGGGATTGACGCGTCGGTGCCTATGCCGTGCTTGTCCATCAGGGAGATCAGCTCCGACTCCGTCAGGTAGCCCGGCGGGCTTGTCTTCTGCTCGGACAGCTTCATCTGCCAAGTCAAAGGCAAGGGGCAATCTAAAAAGGTCGACGGCATCTAACAAGATGCCTAGGCTCCCCGATAGACTCGGTGAGCAGACAACGGTTTGTGTAACTCGACCATCAAAAATTGGCATCCAACAGTAACAACGTCAATTTTGTTGGTCTCAATTTTCGTGAAAAGGGAGCCAGTAGCTTTCAAAATCTCACAGGGTAGGACCTACTGCAAAAATACACTTTTGATGAAAATTCTACATTGCCACGTGCGGGCGGCAATTTATCCTGCCGACTTTAGATAGAGTCTCGGCATCGAAAACATCCTATAATGAGTCTACTCTGTTTTACCTCACAATGGACGGCAAAGGGTGCCGCGAATCACTGAAGCCGATATGATATTGTGCGAGCGACCTTCAAAAGGGAGCGCAGCGATATGCTCGCAGTGCTGAATTGGCTGGGACGGCATCCGCCGCGGTCCGTCGTAAGGCGAAGCGCGGGAGAGTCCGCCCACCTGAACGACGGGGCAGGTGGTTCCCGCCTTGAGCTGCGGCAGGGCTTCCTCCGGAGTGACGGCGTGCCAAGACATGAACTTGGTGAAGCCCGGATTGATGACGCTCTTGCCGGTCAGCGAGAAGCGCTCCTCGCCGACCGTGAACGACGCCGTCGTCTGGAGGTACTTCATGTCTTCGCTCAGCTGCAACAGGAGTGGTCTCGTCAAAGAACAACCGAGATTGATATCTGGGCTAGTTTGCGATCGCTGAGCATGATGAGGCAAAATAGCCACAAAGATGGGAAGAACTGGACGGGACAGAGTGTCGACTCGCAACTGGGCGATGCGGTGTTTTCTCCTCTCGTTTTCCTTCCCTTCTTATAGTATAATCCCTAATTGCGAGTTTGCTCTCTGCCCCGTCCCGCTCTTCTTCCCACCTTTGTGTCTCGCTATTTCGTCTCGGTATGTTCAAACACAAGCGGAGACAGGAGGTTACGTTGTGAGGAATCCCTTCGCGCCTTCCGCTTTGCAGCGATAACTGAGCACCAAGATTGGTGTTTGGCATATACTGAGGAATGTGCACTGCATGCTGAAGAACATGGCCAATGCGTGATCAAGGCTGCAGAGGTGGATGGATACCGAGCATCTGTTTCGGCAGAGCGGACAGTTGAGCCAGTTGGTTTGTAGCAATGTGCAGTAAAGGCGCCAAAGGAGACACGGACGAGAATGGCTGGTGCAAAACAGGGCACCTTGTTTTTGTTTCATTTGTCTTGTCCTTATACGCCTTGTTTCCATCAACTTGCCCCTCCCCTTGCACCTGGTTTCATTCAACTTTGCTCGTCCTAACCTCTTTCAACACCTTCTCTTTACATGGACAGGAAACTGACCCACTATCCACTCTGCTGGAGTTTATTTGTGCGCCTGGTTTTGTCTAACTTGCTTCGTCCCAGCCTCTTTCGGCACTTTTCAACACGTTGGCTTGGTGTCGATCTGCAGTCCTCCTGCTGAAAGTGTAAGGTATGTTGTTGACTAATTTTCTTTCAACACACGTTAGGGTGAAGACAACATACGCACAAGGTACCAATAATAGAAACAATGATGACCCAACTGCACAAAAATTAAAAATGAGGCAGCAACTTCTACTGACAAAGCTGAGTTCATAAACTTTTAATAAAAATGCAGAAATTTTTTTTTATTTTTTTTTATTTTACTGTTTTTTGAATTTACTGCATTTTCTTTTTTTTTTTAATTTTAAGCACAAGAACATATTTTGTTGTTTTCATGCAAAGCCCTGTACACACTTTGAAATAAAAAATAATAAGAACGAATATCTTAATAGGCACTCCCAAAACTAAAAAACCTTTGAGAATAAAAAAATAAAAATATTAAAAAGCAACAAACCGTAGCGACGAAATGCCTGGCAATGTAATCGTACAGCCTCCACGCATCACCGTCCAATTCACCCCTGGAGGCGTCCTTGGTTGGAGTGATTGGAGGGTGATCACCGGCGTCGTGGCCCTTCCTGCAAGGTCACCCCCAAAGACATTACTCCCTAGTCATAATAGATGCAGTAGTCACTTGTCGAGCAGTGATAGTACCGTCAACTTGCAGCTGGCAAACACAAACATCAAAAAGTGGTGCATCGGAAGACACCAACTGAAGATCGGTGATGCCCACAGAAAAGGTGATCTACAAACTGGTGACAATGTAGCATCCAATTATCCAAAAGGATAAGAAAAACCTTTAGTAAAATAAGCCATTGCCTCTTGTGACAAGCGCACATTCTTCACCAATAAACTAAACCGAGTTTAATCAAATAATATCTAACATACTTGGGGCGGTTGATTCCTTTCGATAGCAGCTCTTGGACATCCGCACTCAGGTCGGGAACTCTCTGAATTTGGTGGAGTGTTCCTCTGGGAGAAGGAAAGTGCCAACATCAGTCATTCAATACTTAGCAATAATTATTGACTACACGCAAGCTGAAACTACTTTGGGTTATTGTAATTGACCCTGATAATGAATCCACCACTAAGTCGTGCATGAAACCCGCTTGAATCGTGAACAATGTGGTCTGGATGCACGCCACATAGTATCGGTACTTATTAGTATCAGTGGTGCAAGCATCAAACAAACTGAACAGATTAACGAAAGGTAGAACTGCACACAAAGTGGTTCCCTCTTGAATGGCACTGCTAAGTATCAAAATCCAAAAAAACAATGTGACGAAACTTGTGCCATTAACACAGTCAACTGTGCGTGAGGAATGCATCAATACAGCGTTTCCCTTTTTCCCCAGTCGCTCTATTGACAGTTTTCAGGTGATCAATGAGGCAAGCAATCCTTTCTTAGGATCCAAACTTGGTTAGTGTACTGTCTCATTTACATCCAATCAGCATTTCAAGAGTAAAATTACTTTCTTGTTCCTTTCAACGGCTGTTTAGCGTTCTCACGCTTCTTGCTGAACTGTTTACCGTAGAACACCGTGTATCTGCCCATTCCACATTAAGCGCCCATTACCACATTTGTAAGATCTGAGTGAATACGCACGGCACATTTATATGTAAAATTGATGACTGGAGAAGTGCCCATCCCCCATTTTTTTTGCGATTATCTCCAAAGTTTGAGAGGGCGCTTGCCCGGTATTTTACGGTACCTCCCGCTCCCCAAAACAAAACGAAAAACAGTCAGAAAGACATGATCTCGATTGTACGGATAAAGTTAGCACACACACAGTGTTTTTCTGCGGCGTTCTTTGCAGTTTGTAACAGACTTTGCAGTTTTTTTGTTTTTTTTTACTTTTCTCACGTTATACAGGTAGAAACTGCAGGAGAGGAGGAGACGAGAGTGCACGGGGGAAATCACCGAGCCCCGGTGGGAGTGATTAGCGGGTAGAACTAAAGCTTTCCCTGCCTCTGTCTCTACTCAAAGTTCGAGCGTGTTTGAATGTTCAACGCCGGTATCCAGAGTTCGTCACTGCCCCTTTGGCACAGTGGTAAGGCTCATAATTGTGGGAAATCGTTCCGATGAGGTGCATTGAAAATTTTGTTCTTTTTCCACAAGCGATTACTATTTCTTCTCAGTTATCTGTCCTTTTGCACAGATTGTCCTCCAAAGTGCGCAACCCCCACGTTTCGTACAGGTTTCTGCGCCGTTCCCTCACTCTTTCCTCGGGAATCCCGGCCCCCATTCTGGGTTAAAACGTGTAGCCGGGATGCACCGAGAGCGGGGTTCGAGGCGTCCCGCACGCACCTGAGGTCGAAGTTCTCCGGGTAGCTGGTGGTCTCCGTACGGGGGTAGCTGATGTAGCCCTGGATGTAGAGCCTCTCGGCCACCTGCATGGCGTGGTGCGGACCCATGCCCAGCCCCGAGCTGGCAATGCGCATCAGCTCCACTGTGTTGAGGGCCACGGGCCGCGGCTTGCTCTTCTCCTTTTGCGTCACGTCCGTGATCCTGGAAGATTGACAGATTGAAGCTTACTTCTCTCTGCCAAAGGAAAGAGCTGCATTGTTAACCCCGGTTAACCTCCATTCTAAAACTATACAACCATTCAAAAGTAGAAGTAATGTGTTTCAATGTTCTTTCCTTCCTAAAACTATAAATGAGTGGAACCTTGTTCCCCGAGACATTGTTACCTTACAATACCGTGCATCTGCCCATTCCCAAATCTGTAAGATCCGAGAAAATATGCGCAGTGCATTGATATGTAAAATTGATGAACGGACTAGCACCCATCCTCCATTTTTTCGCGATTACCTCTAAATTTTGAGTGCGCACTTGCCCGGTATTTAACGGTACTACAGATTCCCCCCGCAGCATTTCTCTGTAATTTGGAGCTCTCGTATACCTGATTCCTGTATTCTCTTGGTAGCTTTTGTTAGGGAAGCTTATATCTGTGCAAGGAAACATTTTCTCCTGTAATGAGCCTGATGAGAGTCAGCGATATATTTAGAAATAAATAAATAAATGAGGCTGTTTGACAAAAGTCCCCACACTTCCCTCGACGGTTGCAAAAGAAGCCACAAAGGCCAACGTCCTCTCTATCTAAAACAATAAAACAAAGAAAATATATGCACCATAGTAACTGATAAGATGAAAATGAATGGAGGGTTTTTAGTTCTTTCGCTTCCAGCGCAAGCTTCCAACTTCGGGAACACTTCGGCATGTCTCGGGCTTTGAGTGATCATGCACAGCCAAAGCCGTCAATTATTTGGTTGCAGTCAACTACGCTAGAACCTCTCTATGATTTTTGCGAGATAAATTTTTTCTATATCAGTATACTAGGGCTGCGTGAATATTCAAATAAAAGTTTAGAATATTATGCTATTTGATATTCGTTTCAAGGTAAACCGCATTATTCATCCTTTTCAAAGTGTTGCTCCGTGAGTATTGCTTCCCCGCAGTGCACAAGTGCTCAATGAGAGGCACACTCAATGGGGCTAACCCACCACGATTATAAGAGAGTTTATGTTCGGCAGCAATGTCTTGACAACCTCTGTTCATCATTTGTGCTTGTTTCTTTTTTTTTTTGCTTTTTGTAAAATCTTAAATTGTGGAAAGAATATTTTGCATATATAGCAAGCAGATTCCAAAATCCCCTCGATTAGGATAGCTGTACAAATTTGTTGTTTATATGCCACAGTCTATAGATATGGTAATATTACAATTAACCGAGCTTGGAAGTGGACAAGTGCAAGCTCGGGAACAACCTTCACGAGTTTGACTCGGTTTTTGTTTAAGCATGGCACACTTGCTAGGAGAAACTATTCCACAGGGTGAAACAAGGAGACGCCAGGCTCTTTAGATCAACCGGAAAATTCGGTTTTTTAACCTATCGCGCTACGACTTTGTGCAGCGTTGCCCACAGATGGTGCATTTTTTTGGTAAAATTTGCAAAGAGCGAGCTTACCTGAGAAAAAAGTAAAGAAAGTAAAAGGCTTAGCTCCTATGGAAACGCAGCGACGCCACCAGTCTGCAAACAACACGGTGCTGTTTCGCACCGTGTTGTTTGCGCACCGCGACGCCAACTGCCACCAACGAACGAGCAGACAACGCCGAGAGCCGGCCCTTTTGCAGACAAGGCAGTTCCTTGCTGTTACCGCGCCTGTCTTTTTTGTTTCTGCGACTGTCGCCGCCTGCAGAACGCGCGCCGCTTTTGATTCGAAAAGATTGTCTGCTAAAAAGGCCTGCTCTCGGCGCTGATGCTCGTTCGTTGGCGGCGTTTGTTGCGCCATCTCTTGTCTCCCGTGCGAAACGGCGCCGTGTTGTTTGCAGACCGGTGGCGTCGCTGCGTTTCCATAGGAGCTAAGCCTTTTTCTTTCTTTACTTTTTCCTCAGGTAAGTTCGCTCTTCGCAAATTTTACCAAAAAAAAATGCACCATCTGTGGGCAACGCTGCACAAAGTCGTAGCGCGATAGGTTGAGAAACCGAATTTTCCGGTCGATTTAAAGAGCCTGGCATCTCCTTGTTTCACCCTGTATGTTTGATTCTAAAATATTGGGCCAAAATCACCTAATCACTTCAAACTCAAAATCCACCATTCGCACATGACTTATTCAGTACCTTTTTATGAGTATTACAAGCATATATCGTATTTTGCGGACTATCGTCTGCACCGGTGTATAGTCCGCACGCCAGGCACGTAGCCAGGGGGGAGGCCCATGGAGCCTGACCCCCCCCCCCCCCCCCCCCCCCCCCCCGAAATCTTCCATTTTGCTGGGACCTCATCTCCCCCCCTCCCCCTCATACAGCATTTTGTCATGGACGGGCCCCCCCCCCCCCGAAACAAAATCCTGGCTACGTGCCTGCCGCACGCCATGCATAGTCTCCACACCGTGCCTAATCCGAATGTAAAAATGATCATACACAGCACAACTTGACAAATGCCTGCTGTATTACCTCGCAAATCTTTTATCTTACAGAAATCATTCACCTATTTATGACAGTGAACGATCTAGAAAAAAACAAATCCTCATACAGTCAGCAGCCTAAGATAGTCTGCGCCAATTAAAATCTCTACTTTTACACACGTATATAGTTCGTATACTATACTAGTCTGCAAAATACGGTACCTCAACTTTGCTCCACCATATCCATACCTTTAATATACGAGTAGATAATGTAGAGAAACATTTAAACATCCAGGATCATTAATATACCAGTTGATAATGTAGAAAGGCATTTAAATGAATCGTAAATAAATGATGTGTCAAACACATTCAAAGAGTTGAGAGAGTCCTTTAAACAATGAGGTCTGAGAACTACATATTTCAGATACTAAAGTCGTTGTATTTGTATCTATTAATGTTAGGAGCAGTCTGTGATTGGCACTCAAAGCTTGCTGGGTTTCTGTTGGGACAGTCCTAAAGGCTGATGCCTGGAAATACCAGTCCTGACTATTTGCCATTCATAAAGTGGATTTCCCCCAAAACAACCTCTGCACTCTTTCATTGGCAACAGTCCAAAAAGATCAAGAGCACAGAGCCTTGAGTTAAAGTCTCCCGAACATAAGCGCTCGGCGTTGCGACTGACATTGGGTGGATAGACGAATGCATACGGGCGGTAGAACCCTTTAAATCGGGTGGTGGCTTGCGCCACCTAGCCGGCATTTTTAGCACTAACACCAGTCCGACGGCGACTCACAGAGCCTCTTTGCAGTTTGAGATCTGCGTCAGGAAGACCATGGCCACCTCTCGGTCGAAGATGCGGCCGCGCTCCCAGTCGAGGGTGAACGTCTGCTCATTGGACACCTTGACCTGCGAGAGCGCGGTCAAGCAGAGACACCAGAATTAAGGCTGGTTTGCACACCCGTGACCTCTTACAACCAAGATCTTAAAACCTCTTGGGATCTCTTCCGACGAGTGAACAGACTGGCGCCATCTATAGGGCAGGCACGGAAATCTCAGCATTTTCGTGCATTTCTTTTATCTTTTTTCTGCATCATTCTTTTCTTTTTTGGGGGGGGGGGGGGGGGGGGGGAAGGGGGGGTCGAAAAACTTTGGACAACGTTATAAACAACCATTTCCCGGAGACAGATGTACTTTTGATCTCACAAATACCACGAGACCATTGCTCTAGTGAAATGCAGTTCCAGGGTCATCTCATAGGTAGCGCCAGAGTGCTCTCCCATCGTAAGTGGTAGCAAAAGCTCAGCCGTAAGCAAACGCGAGTCTGTGAACCAGGCTTAAAGGGACACTGACAGAGTATTTATGCTCGCCGAGGTTTTTAGTTGTATGTGACATATGAGAGCCCTGCTACCCAGAACAGAATTTGCGGCTCAAAATTTGGTTTCTTTCCACCCGAAAACCGCCGATCGAGAACTGGCTGGTTTGAGTTGCGCTCACTCTCTTCTCCGTGGCCACGGGCCGTTTTTTAAAGTTTCGATGCGACCACCAAATTTAATCAAAGTCGTGGGTCATTGAAGGCACTCAGTCAATACTAAAAATAGAAAAAAATATGAAACCCATTTTTTGTGGCTTCCAAAAAGCTGCAAATACGCTGACTGAAAAAAAAGGTAGCACAGACAACCGGAAGCATTCTGCGCGTTCACTGCATAATTCTCAACATGGCGTCGTTTCGCGTTTTGTGGGACTTGCGGGTGGCAGCGGACGATGGGCGTGGGACCTCTACTTCAGAACTGTCGTTCACGATACCAGTGAACTCTGTCTTCCTTCGAAAGAGAAATTTTGGACCGTTCAAAAAAATTGATATTCATCCCGTACGAAAGGCCCGACCAGCCAGCCGATTGCACGAAGACGTCGTCGAGCCGTCGTCCCTTCCCGTGGCTGAAGACATCGCTCACTCAAACGTCAAGCACGAGGTGCACACTTCGAGTTGATTAAAATGGAAAAAATATTTTGGGAGGTGTCAGTGTCCATTCTTTTTTCATTTTTTACCAGGCGATTCATTACGGTGTCGGAATACTACCCAATTAGTATTTTAATACAGAGTCACATATTTTTTTAATAAAGCCAAAAAACCTAACTGCTCGAAACTGAAACCGAAACCCACGCACCGCACGGGGATGTGGAGAAGAGAGTGAGTGGCGAAAGTCACGTGGCTACACCCGACCGTGCATAATTTTTTTTTTTCTTCCGGGTGCAGCAGACGAACTGCGTTCGGGATCCATTCGTTGTGCGATTCCTTTGCAGTTATGTTTGTTCCGCTCGCTGTTCTGTACTTCAAGATGAGTTGTTTTGTACATTTAAATGTTGGCAATTAGTTGTGAGTGCCCGTGGTGAATTCCCGTGATCGGCTCCATAAAGAATACTCCCAAGATGTTGCGTAAAGAGCTACCTCACATCTGAAAGTGACATTGTGCGGCAGAGGCGTCAAAAATGGAATCCCATACCATTTAGCTCGGAGACGTGTCGTCCACAACAATTGTTGTTTTTCAGTGATAACTGTAAAAAAAGAAATGTAAACATCGCAAAATGTTTGAAAAAAAATTGTACACCCACACAGGGATGGAACCCGCGCCCGCTGCGTGTGAAGTGGACGTCTTTCCACTGAGCTACTGAAGGAACTCTTTCGTTCGTAGTAATGCAGCCGGTCGACTGTATGTCGGAAAGTTTGCTGCCCATTTCCCTCCAGAACATGCACTCCCGGCTTGAAGTCGGGACACACCACGCATTGGACATATTCACACCTAGTAAGGAAACCGTATGCGTGCGTAATCAACTCGATGTACGCACTTCGTGCTTGACGTTTGAGCAAGCGATGTCTTAAGCCACGAGAAGGGACGACGGCTCGGCGACGTCTTCGTGCAATTGGCTGGCTGGTCGGGCGTGTCGTACGGGATGAATGTCAATTCTTTTGAACGGTACAAAATTTCTCTTTCGAGGGAAGACAGAATTCGCCGGTACCGTGAATGACAGTTCTGAAGTAGAGGTCCCACGCCTGTCGTCCGCTGCCACCCGCGAGTCCCACGAAACGCGAAACGATGCCATGTTGAGAATTATGAAGTGAACGCACAGAATGCTTCCGGTTGTGTGTGCAACCTTTTTTTTCAGTCAACATATTTGCAGCTTTTTGGAAGCCACAAAAAATGGGTTTCATATTTCTTTCTATTTTTAGTATTGACTGTGTGCCTTCAATGACCCACGACTTTGATTAAATTCGGTGGTCGCGTCGAAACTTTAAAAAACGGCCCGTGACCACGGAAAAGAGAGTGAGCGCGACTCAAACCGGCCCATTCTCGATCGGTGGTTTTCGGGCGGAAAGAAACCGAATTTCGAGCCGCAAATTCTGTTCTGGGTAGTTGGGCACTCATATGTCACGTACAACTAAAAACCTCAGCGAGCATAAATACCCTGTCAGTGTCCCTTTAAAGGGGTACTCCGGCGTTTTCTTCATGGTCCTCGATTTGTCCAAAAACTGACCAAACACACAAGCGGGCCTCGATGAACTAGTAAACCAAATATTAGGCCAAAACAAGTTTTTCTTCGCGAGGATAGTGCATTCACAATTTTTGTCCTCAACGTGTTTTTCGAGCTGAAAATCTCAACTGGCAACTATCAAAAAGTGAGGCCAGCAGCAGGCAGAGTTTCCCTCTTTGGGCTGTGGAATTTGTTCCCAACTAATTACGGGTAGTTTCATGGTGTCAAATGAATGCTTTCGAAGCTCGCTGCAGCACCCGCGCAGCGGCACGAAACAAGTGCTCGGCACAGTTCCTTTCTCATTCAGACTGCCTGCTCGACCAGCAAGCCTGCCTGCCAGCGAGTGACGTCATGGTACTAAAGAGCGAGGCTATATTGGAATGTCGGTTTTGACATTGTTTTCCTTTATCGATTTCGCAATAACTATTTTGAATTTCCCGACACTAAACAGCATACTGGTGATTCAGTTAATATAGGGAGTAGCTCAAAAATTCGCAGGAGAACCCCTTCAACCGTTTGACACGCAAAGCGTATGAAGATGCACACTTGATAGGCAACGCTGGCGGATTGGCAGACGACTGCGGACGAAATCCACGTGGGCTTCTGTCGGAATGCAATTCCGCATTAAAAGTGAAAGGGAGTCTTGCCTGCACTTGCAGCACCCAGTAGGCCTCCGGCTTGAACGACTGGATCTTGTCGTGGCGATCCACGCAGAAGCCAAGGGTCGGGGTCTGGCAGGGCCCGAACGAGATGAACGAACTGTCCAGGTTGCCGTACTTGCCCTGAGAGGGACAGAGGATGCAACTCCAGTGTACTGCCCGGACACAAAAAACAGTCCCAAACTGGCAATCTGATCTTGGCGGTTAATAATAAAAGTCCCGGCAAAAACCGTCAGTACACGCGAGTATGGCCGTCGCCGCGGAGTCCCAACTTCCGGCTGCTGAAGCCTCCGTGGACTGTCAAGCCGGAGAGCAACCTGCGGCAGATCTGCCACATCCACTACCGCAACACCGCCAAGGCTGCAGCCAGCGATAGCGTGACACTTCTATGATGCGATGCATGTGGAGACCCGTTGCAGGCGCCGTCGTTTTAGCCAAGCAATCGGCAGACCTGGGGCGATGCCACACCAGTATCCTTTCTAGCCTCGGTCGATCAACGAAGGAGTGTTCATTGTCAATGTTTGTTTGGGACACAGGGTCAATGTTTTTGTATTTCTGGGTCGTGGCAGAGGCCAGTCTAGTAGCAAGTGATTTCGCATGTCGGTGTTTCAGTTTTCACTCAGTTTGGTGCAAGGACTGTCTTTACAACTCTGAAAGCTATGGTCTCGCAGATTTCATGCAAACATTGCCTACCAGCCGGACGGCTTTCTGTGCATTTCGACGCACCAGTGCGAGGAAATGATATAATTTTCTTTATAACTGAGCCTAAAAGATCATCGACGCTGATCTTTTAGGCTCAGTGAATTTTCATGCTCCTGCTCGATCTTGTAGACATCGTTCCTTGTTTTACCCTCACCTTCAAGAAACATTGTCGCCATTAACCCACATGCAAGTCTCTTTGAAGAATGTTGACTTGCCAACTTTGGACGTTTTCAGTGATTGTTCAAGCGCAATCTCGACTATGCAGTGCACCTTGTATAGGACAGGTGTCTCCATGAGATACTGCTGAATCTCTTTTATCCAATCGTGGACATTTGTGCCACCATACCAAAACCTCCCGGTTGTTCTGGGGCACTGGGGAAATCAACTATTATTATTATTATTATTATTATAATTTTCAAAGAATTAGGAATATAGCAAAGTTCAACTCCGACAGGTGCAGAATTTTCGAGATTCGAGAATTTAACGGAAGCAAACTGTGAGAAATGCCAAATTCACTATAAAACGCAAGTTCAAAAAAACCCCGAAAATCCTCCCAATTTTTACAAAAAAACAAAACCCCGAAAGATGTCTTTCGTACTCTTCTTTCCGCACAGCGCACCAACCGGCCGACATTAGCACCTTGCCATCTGTTCAGCCGTCCACTCGGTCTTCTCTTTGAGCACTGTCGAGGCCAACCTGCCTCTAATTTTGCTGTGCCTCACCTGGAAGTACTTGGTCTGGAAGCGGGTAAAAGCACAACCAATGCGGAGATCCAGCTCCTGCCTTGCGTCAACCGAGCGCGCTTCGTTCTCGTTGGGCTCCACCAGCATGTTCATGGCAGCCTTGATGTCTTTGTCCGTGATGGCACTGAACTTGGCACGGAAGATGAACTGTCGAGGAACAACGGCAAGTCACTAAGACGCTCCCGACAAAACCGGGAGCACAACATGCAATGACGCGCTATCTCGATCACTCTGTAGAGACGACTTTAAAAGGGGAATAAGAATTGGGATGACGTTTTAGGCCTCCAGTCAAATGGTCGCATTTGTTCTAACCCAGAAAAACAAACGAGGGCAGGCAGCAACATTTACTGGCCTGTCCTAAGCTTGTAAACCAGTTAAGTTGTGAATCATCATAAGCAAGTGGGCTGCCAATTAATCGTGTGCACAGTGCCATGTTATTGCTGTTCAAACATCCATAATTTGCAGGGCCCAAAGAAATCCCACTGTATCTCAAACAAATAAATAAATGTATAGACAACCGGTATCACATTTAGAGGGTGGTTCCCGTTTCAACCCATTCCCAAAACAACCTTCCCGTTTGTACCTTCCAGTTTCGACCCGTCTCAAAATGTTTTTCCCGTTTCAACCTTTTCCATTTCGTCCTTTCCCGATACAACCTTCCCACTTCGGCCATCGATTGGTTCGTTTGTATTGTTCGTTAACAGTTGATTAGGTTCAAGTGTCCAGTGTCTGTTCTACTTGCTCACATCACTTCTCCCTCTCCCGAAACAACCTCGGAGACATGGCACCGTAAGATAAACGTTGTGTCAGGGAGGGCTCAGCCGAACATTTCCAACTTTATCGACCTGCAAACGGGATGAGGCCTTGAGAAGGATATCGCTGCAGCAGCTTGCAAATGATGGTGCCGTGCGGGCCAGGTAACCGCCGCGAACTATCACAATTGGAGTGCCACCTTTCTGATAGTGCGATTTTCCTTCTCGACTTCCTCAGCCAAGGCGACAGCATTTTGTGGTTTATGATTTTTGGCTGTGTACGCAACGGTTCTGTGTTTGAACTTGTAAGAAAATAAAGTCGCAATCATATGCCCATCAGCCTGTCTGATTTATCACTTTTAAAAAGTATCCCGTTCACTATAAGGAAGTTTTAGAATCACGTACGTATGCGCTTTGGGTAACCTAAAAGTAGCGTCGCGACATAAAAACTAGGCAACGCTAATTTTTGCTTACTCAAAGTGCTTGCCTGCGTTACTCAAAGACTTCATTAGGAGTTTTCGCAGACCGTGTTTCCCCTTTCGCTAAGCCCTCCGCAACGAAGAAGCCGCTACTGTGCCTGCGCGCCAATGGCCTTGACTGTAGAGTTCTGGGTATCGTAGCGGGTTGCGGAGGAGCGTCGCATGACGTCGAAAACGGTCTACGAAAGCTCCTTGTTATTGTACAGAGCGCAAAACCGTTAGCGCGAACAAGCGGTTGTGGGTTTTAGCTGTTTGTCTAAAAAAAATCAGAAGACTGCCATCAATATTACTAGCGTGTTTGAAAGTGCTCATCTGGGCCACTAACCTAAGCGGTAAAATATGGTACCTTCTAATACCATTTCAAATTAAAATTCGAAAAATCGCAACATCGTGTTCGTGGTAACGTTGTCGCGTAGTGTACATAGTCCATTTCATAGTTACACATTTTGGGTACCATTTTGAAAGAAACATTTTAAGTGGTTCAAGTAGAAATATATTTCCTTGAAGCTTGTCTGAAAGTATTGCATATTTTAAGAATACGTTTACAAGCAAAAATATTTCACAACATAACTGAATTGCTCGCCTGCCCCTTTGCATTAATTGCATTAACATGATTTCGGGATATATTCTTAAGCAGAAAAACTGCCCAAACCAAGATTAGAATGATGGACACTTTTTGTGAAGAGGTTGAGATGCGCGGGGTTTTATACTAACGGGTTCAAACGGGACGAATTCAAACATAAAATATGTCTTGGCTACGGGTTCAAATATGAAGGGCGTTTCGGGAACGGGTTGAGACGGGACAGGTTCAAAAGGGAAGGTTGTTTCGGGAATGGGTCAAAACAGGACGGGTTCAAATGGGAAGGTCGTTTCGGGAATGGGTCAAAACGGGACGGGTTCAAACGGGAATGGGTCGTTTCGGGCTATACCCCATTTAGAAAGTCACAACATACTGCCAACTTGCAAAAACAAGATGCGAATTCCTATGTGACAGTGATTTTCTAGCATCACCTGGAGACAAGTAAGTAACTATTATACTATCTAACTATATAAATATATTTACAGTTTAGAGATGAAGAACACGGCAAACCTGTTGACCATAGGTCGCTGGCCTCTTCAGTACGGGCTTGACAATGTTGATGACTTCGAAACAGATATTTTCACCTTCCTTGTCACAGTCTAGCCAGAGAACAAGGTAGTCACAGCCTTGACCCTGGATCACACCAAGACAAACATTTCATTACAGAAATCTGTAATGGATTCAACATCTCCAGTTCCAAGAGTCACGCTGCAATAAGTCGTAAAAAGTCAAGTTCATTGATTGTGTAGATGTTATAGAGCCTCCGCTTAGCAACTTCAGATTTCCTTGGGAGATGCTTAGCCGACGCAAGAAGACTCTGGTTCCTAATTTGAATAGTACAGCGGAGCCAATGGTTCGATTCATTTTACGAAAGCATCCCTCAACAAAGGTTTAAAGAAGGGTAAGGGTAATAATCATGTTGCATATTTTATTTTAAAATCACTGTATTTTCATCAGTTTATCAAAGAGGTTCTACATTTTATTCGACACTCTGACAGTGCCGCACAGAGTGAAATCATTTGTTTCTCGGGCTATAAAACGTGGAATAACTTATGCAATTGAAAGCGCAGCTTTTTTTTCTTTTTGCCTGTAGTCTGTTGCAGGTTAGGAACAGCAGGTTTTAGGGGTACTGAACCGAAATTTCCAGCTCCCAAAATAAGGCTGGACAGATAGGCGGGACGCTGCAAAACCCAAAAACATCACTCGTACAGCAATATCTCCAACATATCGCCGTATTTTTTTTAAAAGAAGTGCGCGATTGAACACGGCTGTTGAGACAAGTCACGTCACGACTCTCATTTCTTCTACTCCTTGCTACGTCCCATCGAGCTGGTGACCAAAACGAGGAGGAGAGAAGTGAGGCCACTTCCCCTCATTCTCAAATTCTCCCAGACAATAATGACGTCAAAGACCTCGCTTGATCACGACCTTCTTTTCCAAAAGTGCGGCCATCCGTTTGAGATATCAATGTACGAGTGATGTTTTGGAGTTTGTAGCGTCCCATTCAACACTACTGCAGCCTTATTTTGCGAAATCCAAATTTTGATGCAGTATCCCTTTAAGAACTCCTCCCACAAAGCTTTCGGCTCTCCTTGACTCATTCGGCTAAAGTGAAAAGAGGAAGAGGGGGCTTTGTGGGAAGTTCGTCCTGCTATTCTAGGCCTCCAACAAACTATGTATGAAACATCTTAGGTGCATTGGCGGCAGTTCTCAATACGAACTGATGAACCAACCTCTTTTTCCAGGAACCTCGGAAGCTGCAACTTGGGGTTGGCTTCCTTCTTTTCGGTGGGAGCGCTGAACAGCTCGGCCTTTAGGCGAGATGAAACAAAAAGTGATTGATCCGGTCACTAAAAGGAGCAAAACGGCGGGACGTGTCTTTCGAAAGCCTGGCCTCCAGCACGCGCTCCTTGCCTTCCACCGTGCTTTGGCTGCATGCTCGAAGCTCACAGATGCCGAAGCGTTATTGGAGGTAGAAAGCTCGCGCTGGAGGTGGGACAACTTAAACTTTACCCTGCCGTTCTAACTCTATCAATGACAATATTGAAGTAAGCACGCGGCAACCAGTCGCTCCATGCCGGTGACTACGGCTGGTCTGGAAGAGTGCCCAAACAGATCCGACGAATAGAGTAGCAGTAAGAACGCCGTCGAAAGACCTTTACTCACGGGATCGACTCTGTCCCAGCTGTTGTATTTACCGGTGAAGTCGGTGGTCATCACATGCCCGCAGACCGAGGTCATCTTGAACCTCGCCGGTTCGTTTTTGAACTTGCCCATGTACTCGTAGACGGTGCATGCGCTGCTGATGCCCTTTCTAGACTTCATGGTGCCGTTGGAAAGGATGGCCGCTAGAGACTGGGCCAGCGCCGGCTTTTCGGCCACCATCAGAACGTTCTTCATGATTTACTGCCGTCAGAGAGGTTCGACGCTGTCACATAAATCGCCGTGGACGCGGCCTAGAACAGCGACATGTTGGATTTTAGTTTCAGGACGCGCCGACAGGCGGCGGTTGGTGTTGTCGCCTGCTTTTGCTAGGTAGCGTTAGCTACCGCCCAATCCGAAGGGCTCAGCCGGATTTATTTATCCATTTATTTATGCTTTGACTAGGCTCTAGTAGCGCAAGCCAACATTAGCGCAAGCCTCGTTGGCGCAAGCCGCCGTCCGATTAAAGGTGTTCAGCGTTCAGCCGTATTCAACCATCTATTCATTCATCGATTTTTTCTTTCCTTTTTTGCGTGTTGGTGTGATATGGTATTCCGCATGTATATACAGGCTATAAAAAATTTTAAAAAAGCCGTAATATCATTGTTATTGGCTAGGTGTCACGACTGTCCGCCCGATTCAAACGATTTTACCGCATCTATCTAGCAAGCCACGTTGTAAACTAGTTTCGGTTTCGTTTTCGGCTCAAAAAGTACTGCGTTAACAGAACCCCGGCGGACCGCTGGGAACTATTTGATTTTCGTCGAAATTCCCACGAGCCTTCCTGAATTATTATTGTACAGCGTTTTGTGCACAAACAGGCAGAACGGAGAAACTGCATACCACAGGCACACCGCGGTCAGCGCTAGTGGGTCGTTGTAACGTTGATCCTTGTCTCGTTTTTGGGGCTTCCCAACGATCAACCGCGCCGCCAGTTATTTTCTAACGCATTTGTCCGGTACAGACACTGGCTCCATTCGCGTGATATTATTACTAATTTTGGGTAATTCAGTAATGGGAAATCCCATCTAAGAAGTTAAAAGTGCGTTTAAGTTTTAGGTGACTGCGGGGTTTTGAGTATTTCAGGTAAGGTAAAAATACTTTATAGTAATAAAGTTTACTTCAAAAATAAATTGGCGCTCAAAAAAATTGTTCACCACCAGCGCTGGGCGTGGTGGTGAACAATCCGCTAATCGCGCAGTTCATCCCCGGCGATGGGACGCCCCTTCACAATATCGCCGAACTTGTCGCCCTACATTACGTATCAGTAGGACATCGCTTTCTTTTCATTATAACATTGATAAGAGGTCGCAATCGACCGGGGTGCTTGACTCGAGGTCATTTTTATTTCCACGCGCACCGCATTTCTCGTATCCTCCCCACAACGACAACGTACGCCAAAACAACAAACAAAGAAAAAGAAAAACGCGATTGGCCAGCACTTAACTTGACTGGATACATGCGCTCTTTCAATACTCCTCTTCAGAACTTTGGTCGATTTGGAGGCGCCAGGAACATGGGGAAATAAAGTAGCAAGCCCATACGAGAGGCCCACGAGAGGCGCACTGCTCATACGGCTCATACATACATCCAACGTCGCTAGAACCACTCAGTTGGGAAACTGCCGTAGAGCCTGCTCTCAAAAGGTTGCACCGATCCGTACTCGCGAACCGAGGAATTGGCGATCGCAACGCCGCCATTTCTCCCGCAGCGGACACTCGAGAAACTACATGTGACCTCTAATTTGGCTGTAATCGGCCATTTTGGCGCCAAAACAATTACGGTGGATGGCGCTTCAGGGGTCCCCGTCTCCCAAGCGGACGCGCCGTCAATTTCTGCCGAAGTTAGGATGCGCCTATGTCGGGACGCGCTACCTGAAATCACCGCTGAGGCACGGTTGTATAAAAACAATATTATGGCCTATTCGTTTGGGGCGCACCGCACCCGTCCAGTGCAGTAAACTCTTTCCACTTTAGTACACGAAAGGCTGGCGGGGAGAGAAAGAAGTTACCCTCTCCCCTCTAGCCTTCCGTGTACCACGAACTGCACTCCACCGGTGCGATGCGGGCCCAGACGAATTGGCCATTAATTGTGCCGCAAAACCTTGCAAATTAAAGATTTAAAAAAAAACATCACGCGCCCTTCATTTTGTACTAAACTGTTATAAAAGTTACTACGAAAAGAGTTCTTTTTCCGTTGGTTTTTTACGAGGAAAAAACAGCTTCTAAAAGCTCGAGGTGACCCGGCAGTACAGACAAATGATAAAGAGTGGCGCTGTTGTCGTATTTAGCTCGGTCTCGGTGGACGCCGTCGTCCCGGGTTTCAACGGTTAGTTTCCCAACTGAGAGTTCTAGTAACGTTCATACATCCTACAAAGAACAGCCTCCGCGTACCAAGTTTCTCATTGAACTCGTTGTCATGCGGCATTCGAAGCACGGATCTCGCGGTGAATCTGTATGCAGATTGTCTTTTGTATTGGTGGCGATGCTATGAGCACTATACTCATGCTCAGCCGCTTCGCCTCACTCGAGTCCGGTTAATTAATTAATTAAATATGTCGTGTTCTGCGCTCCATCCTATTTCGTTATTCTTTCTTAAGTAAAATTGGTGCATACAGGGTGTTTCTGTTTAAGCTTAACTGATTTCTTTTTAAGGAGCCGTGAAAGTTTGTGCTGGTGACGTTATAATACGGCAAGGGGGACATAGTATAGGGGGCTAATCGTAACGATCAGTCGGCTAATGAACTAATACATGTTAATTAAAGTTTTAATTATCCAAAAAAATTATATGGTTCTAGTTATAAACTTGCTGGACCTGATCACTGAATCGGTCAATACTAAGAAAGACACGGAGCACGTGGGAAGCCATGGTGAAGCGCTCAAGTTCATGCAGCAGGAGCAAGGCCACCGGTACGCTCCCGCGCGGTTTTTCACTTTCTTATCATCGCCTTGTGCATGTTGCACGAGGGCTAGCACTACTGCGCTTTCCGCGCGCTAAGATGTTTTTTTTTTTTCTTCTTTCAATTACTATTTAGTGGTGTTTGATGATGTTCACCAAGTGTATGATTGGAACCAAATACTTTACATTGGGGAATACATTCCACTCTGCTCGTTTGCATTAGACAGAACGCCTGCAGCGCCGAATCCAGCCCTAACGGAGTGGAGGTCCGCGTCAGTCCACGCGCAAGTGCATGTGGATGTTCGCGGCGGCCGCGGCGGTGTCGTCTCCGATTCCACCTAGAGCCACTCTATATGGCAGCGTAGCTGCCAGAGTAGCGACACGACGCAAAATTATCTAGATACACGACGTCAGAAGCGCCTATAGTGATCTCCATTTTGGGCCTGGAAGGTTTCCATGGTAACCGTACTGCTAGCGACACCGGGCGGCAACCTTTTTCTAGTTGATATCTCTATTCGTTAATTGAAAAGTGGTAAAAGACCTAAAGGACGCTTTGCATGGCGGTACAGCACGGGCCTCTGGAGGAGCGGTGCCTCTTTCTTCTGTGAAATGAGACGATTGGCAGCGTGCACGGACAAGGAGAGTGGTTTTCTGCGCTGCCGGGATGGCGGCGGCTTCGTGGGACGAACGTACCGTCCTTGTACTTTCGGACTTCGCTTCTATGGAACAAAATCCGATTACGCCGGCCACGACAGGACGATTGCCTTGGGACATGATTGCTGCTCGACTGCCCCATAGTAAGAGAATGTATGCTTAGCACCATAATTCTTCAAGACCCAATCATTCATACAAGATGAGGTTATTTCACCGACTGGCGAGGAGCGACGTCGACGACGGTATCAACCTCGTTTTCGGCGATGAACAGTCGACGGGGTTAAACCCAGAAGGACAGCACGGTGGTCTACAGAGGATTGTTAACGCCACCAAAAGAGAAGGACGCCGGAAATGAGGTGTTTTTGCCGACAGGCCAAGTGGTCGTCCGGAAGTTTATCGGCATGCAAAATGTCAATATTTTTATCTGGTGTAGCATGCATACCCGTGTTAAAGGGGCCATGAAATGATTCTTGAACTTCTTCTTCCTTAGCTTTAATCCTCAGCTCAAAAGAGAACAGTGGAATCACGCGGTCGTGACATGCTAGGGCACCGGTGCAATGACCCCAAGCTTCCACCGTGCTATTTAAGCACACCATAGAACTTGTCATTCGCAAGTGCACTCATGTGCACTCATTGGCCGCGAACGCGAATTCAAATATTCATCGACGAATTGATTGTTGACGAGCGCATACGTCCGAGTGACGCAGTTTTCGTTTCAAATGTGTGAGCTGGAATCGGCTGACGTCATTTTGGCTTTTGTTGGCATTGCAAAGAGGATATTTAGAACCATACACACATGATGATAGCATCATAGCACATGGACATCAATGAGTACAAAAGGGGCCCAGCTACAGAAAATAAATATTACACTCGTAAAAAATAATTGTCTATAACTTGTTAATTACAAAGACGAACACCTCTGAGCATATAAATTTAATAGTGTGTGTTGATGCATTCTTATAGAGCAGGTCATTTCATATACGTCATTTGAGCAAACGCCAACTTGTCACTTGAAAAAACAATACAAAAAAACACTGCGGTTAAATACAAGCTATTGCAACGAAAGGACGTTTATCAAAGTCTTCAGAACTGCCAATTTGTAAAATCATCGATTAGTACAAAGGTTAAAGGTCGCAGGCGCTTCCTCGCTTAAAGTTGCTGTGATTATTCGGTGACCCAGGGCTGAAACTACTTCCCCTAGGCCCTACACACGACGTATACCTTTCGTTTCGATTCTCAGTAATTCCAACATTCAAAGGGAGCTAGAAAATTCGAAATTGTTATCCTAAAAGCTATATCGCAAGATTGTTGATTAGTACAAAACGTAAAGATCGCAGGAGCTTCCTCGCTAAAAGTTTGTGATTACGCGGTTACCTGGGGCTGAAACAACTTCCCCAAGGTCCAACATACGACGCATACAATTCGCATTGATTCTCAGACATTCCAACGTTCAAACATGGCTAGGCGTATGCGAAAATTGCTTACAAAATGTCTTATCGATCCTCGAAGACATCCAGGAATACGAGCACCGCTACGGCGATATGACTGATGCTGTCGCACAGGTGCCAATATCCAGAGCGATCTTGTACAGAAAAGGTATAAAGTCACATTCTTTCAGATCTTCACGTTATACCTGCGTCAGAGAGCACGAAGAAGTCCGAAATCGTCGGCAAGCAGCGGCACATTACGACTACCGCGCACCAACAAACTCGTATCCACCAGCTCTGGGCGCTGCCATCTTACCGGTGACATCACGGCTCTTGCGAGGTCACGTG